TACAAACCATAACACATAATTAAGGTGTTTGATGCTGCCACCCCCCCCCCCACAAAAAAAAAGAAATAAATGTCAGGTTTAAATTATAAAAAAATGCAAGCTTTCAAGCTGCTGATACTACATTTCTATAAAGTCTGAAGAAGGGATCTAGGTTTTAACCTTAACAGTAGACTAGAATGTTTACTAACTTAAAGAGTAACTCCATTCAACACTGCGCTACTTTAACTGGCAATTGCTCAGTTGTGCAACACTGTATGCAAATTCAATTTTTATCACTTTTTCTCACACAAACACAGCTTTCTTTTGGTGGTATTTGATCATCATGGGTTATTTTTTGCTATCTAAACGAAAAATGACTGAAGATGTTGACAAAAAAAAAAAGATATTTTCTACTTTCTGTTATAAAACATATCCAATAAAATCAAACTTCACCATAAATTTAGGCCAAAATGTATTCTGCTTAAAGTCTTTGGGAAAAACAGTATCCCAATAAGTATACACTGCTCAAAAAAATTAAAGGAACACTTTGAAAACACATCAGATGTCAATGGGGAAAAATATCATGCTGGATATCTAAACTGATATGGACTGGGTAATGTGTTAGGAATGTAAGAAACACCCCATTGTTTGATGGAAATGAAAATTATCCACCTACAGAGCACTGAATTCAAAGACACCCCAAAAATCAAAGTCAAAAACTGATGCAGCAGGCTAGTCCACTTTGCTGAAATTTCATTGCAACAACTCAAAATGGTACTCAGTAGTTTGTATGGCCCCCACGTGCTTGTATGCATGCCTGACAACATTGGGGCATGCTCCTAATGAGACAACGGATGGTGTCCTGGGGTATTTCCTCCCAGATCTGGACCAGGGCATCACTGAGCTCCTGTACAGTCTGAGGTGCAACCTGGTGGCGGCGGATGGACCGAAACATGATATCCTAGAGGTTCTATTTGATTTAGGTCAGGTGAGCATGGGGGCCATTCAGTGGTATCAATTCCTTCATCCACCAGGAACTGTCTGCATACTCTCACCATATGAGGCCGGGCATTGTTGTGCACGAGAAGGAACCCAGGACCCACTGCACCAGCAGAGGGTCTGACAATGGGTCCAAGGATTTTATCCTGATACCTAATGGCAGTCAGGGTGCCGCTGTCTAGCCTGTAGAGGTCTGTGCATCCCTCCATGGATATGCCTCCCCAGACCATCACTGACCCACCACCAAAACAGTCATGCTGAACAATATTACAGGCAGCATAACATTCTCCACGGCTTCTCCAGACCCTTTCATGTCTGTCACATGTACTCAGGGAAAACCTGCTCTCATCTGTGAAAAACACAGGGCGCCAGTGGCGGATCTGCCAATTCTGGTGTTCAATGGCAAATGCCAACTGGGCTCTATGGTGCCGGGCACTGAGCACAGGGCCCACTAGAGGACGTCGGGCCCTCAGGCCACTCAGATGAAGTCTGTTTCGGATTGTTTGGTCAGAGACATTCACACCAGTGGCCTGCTGGAGGTCATTTTGTAGGGCTCTGGCAGTGCTCATCCTGTTGCTCTCTGCACAAAGAAGCACATATCGGTCCTGCTGATGGATTAAGGACCTTCTACAGCCCTGTCCAGCTCTCCTAGAGGAACTGCCTGTCTCCTGGAATCTCCTCCATGCTCTTGAGACTGTGCTGGGAGACACTGCAAACCTTCTGGCAATGGCACGTATTGATGTACCATCCTGGAGGAGTTGGACTGCCTGCGCAACCTCTGTAGGGTCCAGGTATCACCTCATGCTACCTGTAGTGACACTGACCCGAGCCAAATGCAAAACTAGTGAAAAAGTCAGAAAAGATGAATAGGGAAAAAAAATATCAGTGGCTTCCACCTGTAAAACCATTCCTGTTTTGGGGATCGTCTCATTGTTGCCCATCTATTGCACCTGTTGTTAATTTCATTAACATCAAAGCAGCTGAAACTGATTAACAACCCCCTCTGCTACTTAACTGACCAGATCAATATCCCAGGAGTTTAATTGACTCTGATTAAAAAGTGTTTTTATTTTTTTGAGCAGTGTATATTATTAATTGGTTTGTATGAAAGGTATAGCGTCTACAAATTATGGTAAATATATTTGAAATTGATTAATTCTAATGTATTGATGGACGATCTCATTTCTTAAGTCCCTAAAATGCCAGGACAGTAAAAATACCTCCGAAATGACCTCTTTTTGGAAAGTAGAAAGTCTGAGGTGTTTAGTAAGAAGCATGACAAGGTATTTGAAGTTGTAATTTTTTGTCACACAATTTTTGAAAATAGAGAAATTACATTTTTTAATTATTTCTTTAACATTTTTTTAACATACTGTCACCAGTGCAGTACAGCATCATCATTTGACTGATGTGGTGGTGATCAGGGAAACTGACTGGTGACAATTTGTTAAAAAAATAAAATAAAACAAAAAAATAATTTGTTATTCAATTTCTGCAAACTTTTGTTTCCATGGTTTGGATTTGTAAATTTTTTTTTACATGCTTTCATCAAAGTAGTTCAGTGCCACCATAGTAACACTGTACTACTCTGGGGGGTTGTGATCAAGGATTTTTTTTTACACTTTGCTGTTACAATGAATATCATTGTAACAGCAAATTTTTCAACTGTCACGAATGGGTTAATCATTCATGACAGCTAAGATCACTAGTGATCTGTGATTGGTTACAGGTAATCACATGACACAGGGTGCTGCGTGATCACATGATCATTGGTTTCCAAGTAACGGAATCTGAAATCTGCAGTGCGCTCCTAAACCCGGAGCAGACACACAATGTACTTTATGATGCCTGCATATGCCACTCCGTCACAGTATATGTATGTGGCAGGAGGATATTTACTAACTCATATACATGCGGAGACATTTATTAAGTAAATTGGCGACACAATTAGATGCAAATCATCTTTGCCACAGGTTTATAGGTTTGTGTGTCTGTATTCCTGGGCAGTCAACGCAACAATTTTATTACTGAAGGTAAGAAAGATTTCCACTCTAAAGAAGTGCATAATTAAAAGGTGGTCAGGGTCAAGTTTAACTAAATTTGCACTTTAGAGCAGCAAAAGGAGGAATTTATGACTCAATTTGTAACCTTGTAATAAATCTGTCCTTAGCTGGCCATACACGGTTAGAAAATTGTTCAAAAAAGCATTTGATACACTCGATCGTTCTACTTTCGAAACATTAGTGGGGTCATTTCTATTAGTAGTGGAATTGATTGAAAATTGTTCAAAAAAATCTACAGTGCATACAAGTGTTGTAACCCCATAAATGTAATCGATAACCAAAGAATTTACCATTTATGTTGATATCGATCGATAATATGTCAATAATTGGGGGATATATATTGATACAATGATGAGTTATTGCATGCACATTCGGCAGATCTTTGTAAATCCGACCATTTTTTTTTCGATGATGCATCTCGTTACTCCTGTTTAGCATTGCCTTGCCTTGCAACAAGCAGCTTAATAAATGTCCCCATTGATCAAAGATGGGCAAATTATGTTTATCTTGTAAAGAACATTATACACCTCATAACTGTAAGGTTTCATGCAGACTGAAGTTACTGTCAAACATTGCCCTTTACATTTGAACGTAGTGCTGCTTAAAGGCATGCATTTGAACGCACACAGGAAAAGACTATTTGCTTGCTTAGCCTACAATGAAAATGTATCTCAATAGGACCTACTACATCCAAAAAACACAAGGCAAAGTAGGTTGAACGCAGCCTCAGAACTATCATCCACAATGTAGCGTTGAATTCTCACACATATCAAATGTAGGACCTATGTGCATGAGTCCTAATGGTCATTAGACCTCACAACCATAAAACACTTACACTTTTATAAGGGCTCATGGATACGTGAAATATGCATGTATCAAAAGACTTTATTTTCCTCTATTTGACTTCACCTGTCCTGATCCTTATTCGTAACCACTGTTCACCACCAACAAAGATAGCACTGACAGAAAAATAATTCAAACTGACCAGTATTATCTGTTAAATGTATCTCTGGCTCTTTATTTTAGTTTTGGATAGGGTAGGGAAAGGGTAACCGTGACCTTTTTTTTAAAGCCTGGATGCCCAGACCAAGCTTAGCTGGGTCAGTATGCTTTGATCAACTTGGCAACTCTGTGACTAATTTTTCAGTTGCACATTGGGCCTGAGAGCTAGGAACACATACAGCTGTGCACTCCTAGTTCTCTGCTTAGAGCTTTAATAACGTTCTCACAGCAAGGGAAATGTTTCATGTAGTCTAAAAAACACATCTCTACTTGTCATAGAATGGAAAATGATGATGAATACAAAACTTTACAGTGTCCCTAGAACGGGAGATAAATTAAATTTTTCAATGAGGACACCTATTCCAGTGACAACCAAGAGGTTTGCTTTCACGTTTTTTTTGTTTAGAACAGGAATGGAAGAGAATTGCCCAAACAGGACACCGACAGCATAAAAAACTGGCATGAGTCTTAACCATTCCCTGTTCTATCCAAAACAATGAAAACACTTTTATGCTTAGGTGAGTGGTGATTTGCTCTAATGTGCACATGTCTAGTTGGGAACGCTTAATTTATAAGATACTGTTTAAAGTTACAAATTCAGACACATATTTTTCAAATATTTTATTGAAGAGAACCAAAAGGATCAGCCTGTCTAAACTGAGGTTTACATCTGGATCTGGAGTCTGCTACATTCCCACTACCAGGACCAGCTATGGCCCCAGTGCAGAGCACGCCTGCACATTACTGTACCAGGACTAGCACTGCTGCCAAGAGTCAGATATTGGCAACTCCTAACACAGGATAGAAGTTTTGGCTTAGGTAAGAGGCTGATATGACAATCCTAGAAAATCCAAATACATTTTCAGATAGAATTATGAAAATAAATTTCAGCACTAAGAAATATTGTTGCTGGTAAAATCCTTGAAGAAAGTGTTTATATATTTTATGCATTGTGTATTATACTCCAGTGAAGCTGGATGTTAAGTTGTCTCCTTCACTTGAGTGTGTCACTTTGGATTTCTGTAGTATGGTCTGGATGTCCTGTAACACAATAAAGACAAACTTCTGGGTATTGGTTTCTATAAAAGGAAACACAGGATATGCTTGAACAGAAATTGTCTTAAACCTAAAAGAAAAAAATTGCTGTAGGAACAATGTGGAGGTATCTAGAGGTGCCTGTGTGTGAAAGTCACCCAAACCCTTCAGTCATGGCACAATCCCATACTGTTTTGACAGGCAAAGCTCTTGCTTGCCCCTTCCTGCTTCCAGAACATTCCTACTGGTCATTGTCCATCATGGTAAAGGGTCTGTAGGAATGCATGGGGGTAGGGCTTAGCAACAAATACCAACACTACCCAGAAATGTTCGAGCTCTAGGTGCCTGCAGTTTTACCTGGGAAGTGATAGCAAACTGACCCTGTTTGACAGTTAGGTCTTAGGCAGGCCGTAGGCAGTGCAAATTTCTTTCCTGCAACCATTGTGTTCTGCCAGGGGAGGGGTGGGGGCAGCAGTCCCTGCCAGTAGAAGACAATGATTATTGCTAGTGATAATTGCTTTTAAAATCCAGCAGGCTGGTTGTACCTGAGTTAATCAATCAACTTGGGTACATTCAGCCTGCCCATATATGGTTCGAATTTTGGTTGGTTCCTGCTGAACTGGCCGAGATTCAAACCGTCTATGGCTTTAGTACGGACTGAGATGCCCTTGGGTTACCACAAGCAAAAGACTCCTCTTTCCAACTGATCTCAGGATGAAAAGACTATTAGGTGGGATGAATTTCTGAGTGATAGCTCATTGTTCATGAGTCTGTTGTTTAAAGGAAACATCTTCTACTAGTTGCATCATTTGTAAATATCGATGTAATGTCTAAAGCAGGCCATACATGAGTCAGTGGGTTGAAAAAAATTACTTGATTCCCCCATCCACACATTCGCGGTGGATGGTGGAATCCTCTCTGCTGACTTCCCTGTCTTCAGAATACACTGATCAGCACTGCTGGCTATAGCTAACATGTTGATCGCACGGGGAAAATCCAACAGACTGATTGTACAGAAGTCGATCTGTATACTGAATACTGTACAGCCAGCCTGCCCATGCAGGGATTGAAATTCGCCCAGTCCCTGCTGAACTGCCAAATTACAATCCATGTATGGCTGGCTTAAAGCGGAGTTTCACTCACACTATAAAAAAATAAAAGACTTTTAAAAAAACAGCCACTCACCTGTCCCACGATCCTGTGGTGTCCTCCCCGTAGCCTGTTTCACCAGCCGTCTGGTGTTCCAGGCGCCGGCATCTTCAGTGTGGGCACCCGGCTGTGACAGCTTGTGGCTTCACAGCCGGGTGCCCTCTGCGCATGCGCGAGTAGCGCTGCGCTTCCTGAATACCGTGTCGTCTTCTGGGGCCTGTCACGTGTACCAGAAGACTACGGGGAGGGAGGGTAGGAGGACAACTTCCACTTCCAATCACCTAGGCAATCGCAGCGGAAGTGGGAGCGGGTACCTGTCAATTTCGATTATCCGCTCCCCCCCTGCTCCCCAAAGTTGCCAATCCTTAATGGGCAGTGGGGAACCAGTCTTTAAAGTGGAACTTCCCTTTTTGGGTGGAGCTCCACTTTAAGGATACCCTTAAAGAACTACTATACCTTTTAAATTATAGCTTAAAAATCTTTTATGGATATTCAATACAATAGCATTGAGAGGTCGAAAGGTTACATATGCATCTTTATAACTTACAAATGTTGTCAAGATTTGTGACAAGAACACCTTCTCAGTGTCCTCAAGGTGTGTGACAAGATGGCTGTTTTCTTAACATTGAGGGTTTAGGTATCCCCATATCTTTTTGTTTTAATAACACACTTGGGCACAGGAAGGAAATGTAGAAACACTATTCACTTTAGGTAGCTTCAAATTGATTAGACAATCCTTCATCCCCTCACTAGGAAAGAAAGGAATTTCTTTCTCAGTCCACTGTGATAATTAACTGACAACTGTCTAGCAATGCTTTTGCTTTGCCTTCTTCTTCATTAAATAGGATCTTTATTGCATGGGCAAAGTGACAGGTACTGTTGGTAGGACACTTTTCCTCCCTCCCACTGAAACTTATCTTTCCTGTAGTGCCCCAACACTCTTTTAGCCTGCAGAGACCTAAAATGATTTCATGCCATAGGTGACCCTGTACTGAGCTGGGTGGAAAATTATTGGTTGAACAGTGACTGGAACCCCTGAGTGGTTCTTCCCATTGACCCCTTCTGCAGTGATGCCTGGCAGAAGGAACCACAACCATTGGGCGAGACCAGGAATCCACCTCGCTTGGAGGGTGATGAATGAAGCTTTTAAAAAGAGAGAAGATCTGCAACATAGGCGTGGCACGGGTTCGTCTCTTCTGTACAGGTGAATATTTGTATCAACCCCTTAATTGTATGACAGGGTCACTGTAACAACCCCACATGACAGTGATCGGAACTCATCATAATTGGCTGCTCTTTCCTAAGCACTGCATTCTGGGAAAAAAAGGGGAAACGGAGTACCAGGAATTTTTAAGACTACTGACAGATGAAGAGAGCTGTGGGAAAGCAAAGGAAAGTTATTAGCAGTTGGGGGTGCCCTATCAAGACAAACTGAATGGGCAAAGTGACAGATGTCTTGTGGTAAGAATACACTGAACTGAAGGAAAACAGCTACATACACAGTCCATTCAGTTCTTAGATTTACAAAGCTGTCTCAAAAAGCAGCACTGTCTGGAAGGGCAGGAGGTCTGATTTTATTCTGTTGCAGTCCAGTAAGACTTACAAGTCTTGTCCCTCTGTCAGCCTGTGAATGCACAGTGAAGGAGAAGCAGCATGCTGATGAGCTCATTCCTCTGCGACTCTCTGAAAACAGAGCTGCATTAAATTGCGTCTTGTATACCTACCTGGAGTTTAAGCTTTAAAGCATTTGCAAAGTCCGCTTTTTTCATTTGTACCTACAGGTACCCCGATAATATGCCTTACCTATAGGTAAAGCAAATGTCTCCTAAACGTGCACCATTTAGGAGATATTTACATTTATAGCAGCCTGTGATGTTACCAAGGCATGCGCACTTTGCTTTGAATGGGTGGCACACCCAAAGCGCTGCACTGCAGTCGTGAATCCTGTGCGCATACATAGGAGTGATGTCATTGCGGCCAGGCTATGAACCTGGAAGGAAAACCCTATCAGCATGCCGCTGGAGGAATCCGCTGTCCGTAGTGCACATTAGCACATTATGACATTCACCTGCATTTTATAGTAAAAGAGACTTTACTACGGATTCATAAGAATATCAAAAACATAGAATCGTTTAGCTCTGAGGGGGAAAAAAGCAAAATCCATATCTAGAAAATGTACTTACAGAAAGTTTATAGTGTTGACAGCTTTCAACAAGATCACAAAAAGCAGGGTGTTTCAGGAGAGACGTGACAGACACTGTGCCTCCATCTGGGTTTATTTCACTGAAAATGCGATGGATACTCTGTAGAGGAAAGCAAATGAATTAGTGATGCTGAGACCAGTCACATACACTGCTATACTGATTAGAAGGGTTTATCTTCTCTGGCTGTGTTCCTTTGCTTAGTTAACATTTAACAAGTAATTACACTCTTGTTTTAATTAAGATTGGGCAAAATTACCTGCCCTTTGAAATATACCTAAGAATTTTTCCAGCTTTTGGAGTATTGTTTACTTTTCACCTTTTTTTTTGTGATTTGAATAAAAACTCTTAACCTTTTTTCTGCCAGGTCTGTACAGCATACGGATTTACAGCACTGCTTCCAGCTGGCCAGGTCCATCCGCCCCTTTGGACCTGAACTCTTCCTCTGCTATAAGCTGATGGTTGAACTTATACCAAAACTGTTCAGCAGACACTTCTGAACAAAATAATAGATTTGATCAGCAGATAACCTAAAATGTGGTGAATCCACTCCCATCACACCCCCCCAATTGCTCTGAAATTTCTCCATCCCCCCTCACTGTCACCTACAATTCACGATTTCTACTTTCTTTTTCCCCTTCCCCACCTAACTAAACCCTGCGGCATTGGTTCACATCAGTGGAGAGATGAGTATTGTAGCCAGAGCTTCTTTTTTATAACACTGGCTGGTGTTTTTTTTAAGTGTCCACTGTTGAGCTTTATAGTAATTAAATAACAATATTGCCAGCACTGTACCCATAAAACATAATCATTTTACCAACCAGGTAATTACTGCTTGCTTCTTTTTCACGTGAGTAAAATCTATGGCTTTCCCCATCATCTCCAGATCCATGCTCAAACACCTGCAGGATTTCCTGCAGTGTAACAATGACCTCTTCCGTGTTCTGCAGCATGTCGTCCTCGTTACCCATAATCCCATCTTTACCATCTTCAAAAATACCCATATTTGGAACAGACTGCAGATGAAAAAAATTACATAATACTAATACTCAAAACATACATGCATATTTCTAGGAAATACCTAATTACTAAAAATAACATTAAAATGAAATATACAGTGGGGCAAAAAAGTATTTAGTCAGCCACCAATTGTGCAAGTTCTCCCACTTAAAAAGATGAGAGAGGCCTGTAATTGGCATCATAGGTAGACCTCAACTATGAGAGACAAAATGAGAAAAAAAATCCAGACAATCACATTGGCTGATTTGGAAAGAATTTATTTGCAAATTATGGTGGAAAATAAGTATTTGGTCAATATCAAAAGTTCATCTCAATACTTTGTTATATATCCTTTGTTGGCAATGACAGAGGTCAAACGTTTCCTGTAAGTCTTCACAAGGTTGGCACACACTGTTGCTGGTATGTTGGCCCATTCCTCCTCCATGCAGATCTCCGCTAGAGCAGTGATGTTTTGGGGCTGTCGCTGGGCAACACGGACTTTCAACTCCCTCCAAAAGTTTTCTATGGGGTTGAGATCTGGAGACTGGCTGGGCCACTCCAGGACCTTGAAATGCTTCTTACAAAGCCACTCCTTCGTTGCCTGGACAGTATGTTTGGGATCATTGTCATGTTGGAAGACCCAGCCACATTTCATCTTCAATGCCCTTGCTGATGGAAGGAGGTTTGCACTCCAGGTTTGCAATTACAGGCCTCTCTCATCTTTTTAAGTGGAAGAACTTGCACAATTGGTGGCTGACTAAATACTTTTTTGCCCCACTGTAATGAATGATATAAAATGCAGAGTAGTTCACTGACCATATAAATGCATCAGTTCACAAATATTTATAAAGGGCAAAGGACTCCAAGGGGAATCCTACTAACTTCACAAATATATTGCAGGGGGTACAAAGATTATTGTAACGTGTCAAAAATAACACCCACCCATAAACATTGGCACACATAGACTGTGAAAGGAGAATGCAGACATTTATTCCCAACATGTGGGAATTTGATTGTATAGGGCAGGGCTTACCATTATATCCAAAGCCAAACATTTTTGTTTTGGTGGACAGTATAGGGTTAAAATCTGATCTGTGTTCCACTGAGAAAATTTCTCTTCAGTTCCTGTCCTGGAGACACAACTGGAAGTTATAGGAAATGTGGAGATATTGCTGGGACAAATGTCCCCATCAGAAGATTTACCCTCCATTTCCATCTGGGTAATGAATAAGCGCTGTCCTTAGTGTGAAATGCGTTTACCTGTTGCTCCCCCACTGTATTTCCACTATCTGTATTGGTTTTATCCTGTTCAATAAAGTGGAGTTTTTAGAGTGGAGCTGATTGGACCTTTCTTGTCTTCATTTCTTGTCCTCATGCACTTTAACCACTTGAGCTCCGGAAGTTTTTACCCCGTTCATGACCAGAGTATTTTTTTTTTTTTTTGCTATTCAGCACTGCACTACTTTAACTGTGCGGTTATGCAATACTTTACGCAAATTAAGTTTTTATAATTTTTTTTACACAAATAGAGCTTTCTTTTGGTGGTATTTGATCACCACTGGGTTTTTTCTATTTTTTGCGAAAAATCGAAAATTTTGAAAGAAAAAAAAAAAACATGCTTTCTATTTTCTGCCATAAAACATATTTAATAAAATCAAATTTCTTCATAAATGTAGGCCAAAATGTATTGTGCTACATGTCTTTAGTTAAAAAATCCCAATAATTGCATATTAATTGTTTTGTGTTAGAGTGTCTACAAACTATGGTATATACTGTATATTTGAAAATTGATCAATCCGGATGGAGGCCTATCTCATTTTTTGAGGCCCTAAAATGCCAGGAAAGTACAGATACCCCCCTTTTCTGGAAAGCAGACAGTCTGAGGCATTTAGTAAGAGGCATGGTGAGTTTTTTGAAGTTGTAATTTCTTGTCACAATATTTTTGAAAATGAAGAAATTGAATAAAAATGTTTTTTCACACTGTCACTAGTGCAGTACAGTGTCATCATATGACTGATGTGACAGTGATAAGGAATACTGACTGGTGACAGTATGTTAAAAAATGTTAATGTAATATCCTGGGAAATGCTGGTTACAATCAATATCAATATAATAAACAGCAATTAATTAAGAACAAACTATCAATGACAAGATGCATAATAAGAACTTCATACAGGGGTATATTAAGAAAGGTGAAAGGCTCTCTACCTTCACAAGCGAGGGGTCTTCTGTTTTAACCACTATTGGTTTTCCTGCGACTACACTGAGCGCTCTATAGAATCCCTCTGTGGGATCTGGATGGGAAGCGAAGTATAACAACATATCCACATAGCGAAGCTGAGCAGGTTGTGTTTCCTGGTTGGCGAACAAGTCAAAGAAAAACTGAAAACAGAAAACATGGAAAAATTAGAAAGTAGGTTAATTGGTTTATCTACAAAATTGGTTCTAGTATTGCAAAAACTGGATATGTACTCTATAACACTGGGGTATGCTGTATGTATCTGTATGGTCCTCTGTGTAAAGAGGGGAGTATGGAAGAAAGCTCGTAGGATCACAGTTTAGCAATCAACGTAGACTTTGATTTGAATTTGTTTTATTAGTCATTTTTAGTTTAGTTTTATATGGTAATATCTGGCTTTTTTACAAACTGTATATTTTACATCTAATTATTTATTTATATATTGTATTTATCCAATGTCGTGTAATATATTTATCAGAATAGTTTTTAACTTTAGTGATCTGTTTGAGTATTTATGAGTTTGTTTTATATGGTATATATGATTGTAAACTCATTGGCTATCGGTGGTTATATGGGTATTTATTTATTCACATTGAGATTATTCTTATTAATTAATATTATGTATCTCCCTTTAATTTAATTTGCCTATAGGTTTCATTTGGTATAACTGGGTATTTCATTTTATTCTAGTAATTAAATAATTATTATGGAGGGTATTGGGTATTGTGGGTGGTGATTAGGATAATAGGGGGTATGGGTGATTTATGTATTTATTTATTTGTTTATTTAGTTATGCCCACATTTAAGGGATATATATGTGGGTGCCCCTACTTGTTATTTATTGATTTATTTATTTATACTTGGGGACCAGAGTTATTAATACTGTTAATGGAGAGTTATTCAGGGGACACAGTAGTGGTTAGGTCCGAGAGTGAGGCCCGTTGCTTTACCCGTTTGTTGTATTATTGTCACCGCGGTATTTGATATTATCCCGGATAAGGGAGCGGACTCCAAGAAAATGGCCGCTCGGGTCCGCCTCTTGTCTGTGATTGGTGCCAGGGATCTATTTATTGGGTCCCTGCCTCCGTAGGCGTTTACCATGAGGATGTCACGTGTCCAGCATGACGCAATGCGTCGGTATGCGAGGAGGATTTCCGGGTGCGTGGTGACGTCACTTCCGGCGTGGGGGCCATATTTGAAATCCCTGTATTAATACCCATGCAATGCATTTATAGCATGAGGTATAGAGCCATGTGAAAGGAGAATATACAATGTGAGTGGGCACATTTTATATTGGTTTGATTCAAATAAATTGCGGTTTTACACTGTGGAGGCTCTTTATTTGTATATGACCCGGAGAGGAGGTTGCTGACAGAGTGGTACATGCAAGGGTTGGAGGACTCTGGAGAGGATCCTGTTACCTATCAGAGGGGTTTACATCCTAAGCGAGCTGACCCTGTAGGGTCGATTTAAGGAGGTGAGGGGCCACTTTAGCCACCTAAGGATTTGCACAGTGTGAACACCTAGCATCACCTGCATGAATATTGTGTTTGGATCACCGTATATGGACATTTTATATTGTGCGTTTGCATATATCACATTTGAGCGACTTTAGATTTATTGAGTTTTGGCATACCACTTTGGCACTTTTATTATTCCCGCAGGGAATACACGTGTTGCACTTTATAGGAGAGTTTTACCCCTTTGCACATTGGGGGGTTGTTTGCACTAATTTATATTATTTATTCTAATGTTTATGCATTTATATTATTTTTAGCGCTGCACTTTTATATATATATATATATATAGTTTAGCAGATTGGTTGTTTTCAGTGTTGACACTTACTGAAGTTCTGCTGATTGTCCTCTTCACCCCCTCCTTTGCCTTTATTGGATTTTTTCTTTTTTTTAGGGAGCAGGTAGCTCTTTCTGACAGGTACCTGCTCCTCACTGCCTACAATCTCCTGGGACACGTCACAGGTCCCAGGAGACTGCAGGATCATTCAAAAAATGCAGCGCTGCTCACACATGCACAGTGGGAAGCTGGTTGTAAAATCGCAGCTAGATTTCTACAGTTAACCTGGTGCTGCCCTGGATCTGAAGATAGGTGAATAACAGCGCTGGATCCCTGGGCTGCTAAGTGTCTTTTTATTAAAAGTCAGCAGCTACAGTGTTTGTAGCTGCTGACAATTAATATTTTTCTTTTTTTTTAATGAAATTCCTCTTTGGGCACACTAGTTCAAAAAATTGCTTCTCCTAGAGGAGTTTAGCATTGTGCTTGTAGCAGTAACTAATGTTGTCCTATGTGTTCATGTACATTAGGTAGTCTAGAGGCATTTTTTATGCTCAGAGTTTAGAGGCAGAAAAAAAAAAACACTTCTGTTTTGCGTTTTGAATGCGTTTTTCTGGCAGAAAAAAAAAAAAGCTAAACGTTCCTAAATGCTAGTACAAAGAAATGCACATTTTTTTTTCTGCCAAAAGCACTAGCATTTTTTAAGCTAGTGCGCATGAGCCTAAATGTATGATCTGTCAGTGACAAGCATTTGTTTAACAGAATAGTTTAGGAACATTTAATATTGGCACAAATATTAACACCAATAAGAGGAATTTTCACTGTAATTATTAGCAGCAAGAGGATTTTACTTAAGCAATTTTTAGGCATTTTGCCGAGATACCATTGGAGAACCCAGAAGGCACTACTTTAGGGTACCACAGCACCCTGGTTGAAAAAGGCTGGGATAGACATCAAGGCTGAGTGTTAGGTTTAGGTGTCAGGTTAAAGTTTATGAAGAGGGGTTAGCATAAGGTTATTAGTTAGAGTTAGGAATTACCGTATTTTTCGCTCCATAAGACGCACAAAAAAAGGGGGGAAAATGTCAGTGCGTCTTATGGAGCGAATATAAAGTGGCCGGTCCGGTATTTTTGCGGCCACCATGTCAGAATACCGGGCCGGCCGCTCAGCTGTTGTCTCCTGCAGGGCCTTACCTGTTCCTCGCTCCAGCGCTGCACAGTCTTCCCGCGCTGGCTTCTGTGACAGCCGGGTGCCCACTGCGCATGTGCTGCACTTTGTGAATGATTCGGTGTCTTCTGGGACACATGAAAGGTCCCAGAAGGCGCCGGGCCATTCACAAAGCGCAGCGCTTCTCGCACATGCGCAGTAGGCACCCGGCTGTCACAGAAGCCGGCCCGGGAAGAAGAGGGAAGGACAACTCCGCGGAAGTGGGAGCGGGTACCTGTCAAATTCAGGTACCCGCTCCCCCTCCCTCCCCAAAGGTCAGCAGTCTCTGGTCATTCCCTTCACTGTCTGCAGTCTCTGGTCATTCCCTGTACTGTCTGCAGTCTCTGGTCATTCCCTGCACTGTGTCCGCAGTCTCTGGTCATCTCCTGCACTGTGTCCGCAGTCTCTGGTCATCTCTGTACTGTGTCCGCAGTCTCTGGTCATCTCCTGCACTGTGTCCGCAGTCTCTGGTCATCTCCTGTACTGTGTCCGCAGTCTCTGGTCATCTCCTGTACTGTGTCCGCAGTCTCTGGTCATCTCCTGCACTGTGTCCGCAGTCTCTGGTCATCCCCTGTACTGTATCTGCAGTCCATTGGTTCAGAATATTTTTTTTTTTCTTGTTTTTCACCTCTAAAACCTAGGTTCGTCTTATGGTCAGGTGCGTCTTATGGAGCGAAAAATACGGTAGGTTTAAGTTAATGGCTAGGGGTCAGAGTCAGTAGTTGAGTCCAAGTGCTTAGGCTGCGGCTGAGTGTTAGGTTAAGGGGTTAAAGCGTTATTAAACTCTTTCAACTATTAAATAAAAAGACTTCTCCCTGAAAGTTAAAAGGAATAATGTGCTGGTGTGCATCACATACTAATACATTATGAAATACTTAGTGTAAAAAGAGGCCCTCCATCAACACACTATCACAGCTGACAGGGCTTCCATTTTCACTCTGAGTTTGTAGGCTCCAACCATTTGAACGGCCGAGCCGTGATGACGTCACTCCAACTCATGGGTACGGGAGTCCCGGCCATGGCACAAAGCTCTGAAGGGGTGTGTGCACGTTTAGGAGATATTCCTTCTACCTATAGGTAAGCTGTATTATACGCTTACCTGTAGGTATAAGTGTCCCAATGGTGTTTAATTTCTAAAATCAATTGCCTTCCATAGACTATATTTTTCCTACATGCACAAAATATGGTTTCCCTCACACACCAGCAACTAATCAATATTGCTAGTCCACAACTGGCTTTAAAAGCTTTAGAACAGACCATGGTAGGAAACGGAGGTGGACATATACAATATTGCAGGTATCAAATGCTGCTTAAAGCTTCTCTTTTTTAAAACATATATGCAGTATTATAATGTGTGTTCATTATGTCACATCTGTATTTTAAAAGAAAACAAAAAAAAGGTGAACTCTCACATCAAAGTGCGTCTAGATTCAGACACGGGAGGATTTTTAAGCTGATACAGTAAATGCAGGCACCTTAGGGAATCTTCTCTCCAGCAGGACATTTAATTTGAAATGTTTTAATGGCCAACAAATTCACTGTTTGGAATGGCTTCTCATACACCACTGAGTTAGAGAAAACCTTTTATATCTCTTGTGCATTAAAATAGTGAAGCGCTCCCAAATTATCTAAAAAAATTATTCAATAAGTGAAGAATAACATAGACACTTCTCATAAATACCCATATACTATTAACTCTTAATAGATCTGTGATAAAAAATACCAAAATATACAATTCATAATATATGCCCAAATAACAGTGATAAAACCAATTGACATGATACTACTAATTCATAATAATGTGACAAATCGTGATACTTGTGACACAACTGAATATCAAAAAAAGGTATATATAGTGATACTACGATAGGTAAATACATATATCTGTGGTGAATCCTATAACAAATTAGAAAAAATTGCTTCTTAAATCCAAAAATATATAAATAAATAAATAAATAAACTCGGTGTTTCAAAAAAAACTCAGATAATCCATGCAAAAAAATTGTGAAACACTCTGTGATCTTCACTTCTAGTGCTCAAGAAAGGAATCCTCCAACGGCAGAAATGCCTGCTCACCTCCCCTCCTCGACCCACACAGGGCCAAAAGGCAAAAAGGCTCTCCTTAAAGGCAATCTTTTCCTCCAAGCACCTCAGGCAGGAACCTCAGGACTTCCACTCCACCTCCTCTCACCACGTCATATAGGGCACAAACAGAAACTTCCCATAGTATAACACCGTTTTATTGTGAATAATAAAGCATAACAAACTTTTCAACTCACATGGTAACTTTGGATACAGCGCTTTTTCACCTCACATCATGGGTGTACTCTCATGCAGGGAGGGAAACCAATATGGCCGCTGCGTCCGGACAAAAACGTCCCCACGTGACCGGAAGTGACGTAATAACGTGCTGGGAACGCCATTCCCAGCACGTTATTACGTCACTTCCGGTCACGTGGGGACGTTTTTGTCCGGACGCAGCGGCCATATTGGTTTCCCTCCCTGCATGAGAGTACACCCATGATGTGAGGTGAAAAAGCGCTGTATCCAAAGTTACCATGTGAGTTGGAAAGTTTGTTATGCTTTATTATTCACAATAAAACGGTGTTATACTATGGGAAGTTTCTGTTTGTGCCCTATATGACGTGGTGAGAGGAGGTGGAGTGGAAGTCCTGAGGTTCCTGCCTGAGGTGCTTGGAGGAAAAGATTGCCTTTTAAGGAGAGCCTTTTTGCCTTTTGGCCCTGTGTGGGTCGAGGAGGGGAGGTGAGCAGGCATTTCTGCCGTTGGAGGATTCCTTTCTTGAGCACTAGAAGTGAAGATCACAGAGTGTTTCACAATTTTTTTTGCATGGATTATCTGAGTTTTTTTTTTGAAACACCGAGTTTATTTATTTATTTATTTTATATATTTTTGGATTTAAGAAGCAATTTTTTTTTCTAATTTGTTATAGGATTCACCACAGATATATGTATTTACCTATCGTAGTATCACTATATATACCTTTTTTTGATATTCAGTTGTGTCACAAGTATCACGATTTGTCACATTATTATGAATTAGTAGTATCATGTCAATTGGTTTTTATCACTGTTATTTGGGCATATATTATGAATTGTATATTTTGGTATTTTTTATCACAGATCTATTAAGAGTTAATAGTATATGGGTATTTATGAGAAGTGTCTATGTTATTCTTCACTTATTGAATAATTTTTTTAGATAATTTGGGAGCGCTTCACTATTTTAATGCACGGGATTTTTGACTTGTTGGTTGAGTTTGAGTGATTGCAGCTAGTAGATAGGGTCCTACCCATATTAAGCGCAGGAGGATATCCCCCCTTTTTTTCTTTTATATCTCTTGCTGCAGGAGAAGACTTAGCTCAGACATACTGCCATCAATGTATTTATAAGTACATCTCCAATGAATTAACTGAGAAGTATAGCCAAAGCTCTTTTCGCTATACTTCTCCTATGGATCACAGGAGTTCACTCCTGTGACCGAGTTTTCTGCCAATAGCGGGCTAAAGCCTGCTGTCGACTGACATCATCAGCAGGTCCAGCCTCTGGAAAGTTCCTGACTTTAAAGTCGGAATCCACTGCTGAGAGCCTGAGCCAGCCACTCCCACCCCCTCTTCAACCTGGCACTGCAGTGAGCGCTGGAGGGGCAGAGCAGAGAGCCAGTGACTGACAATCACTGGCTCTCTACAAACTGAAGACAGAGAATTGAGCGATCAGTGGTGTTTGATCGCTCAGTTTTCAGTCTTAGAGGTGTTGAGAGACTGATGCAGCATCATGCCGATGCTGCATCCACCTAGGTGAGTATGAATGTTTGCTTTTTTTGAGGCCCAAGTTTCTCTTTAACATACCTTTTTATAAGATGTTCCAGCCTATTAAAAGGCAGAGGTTCTGTTGGGTCTTCAGGAACCATTTCTTCAGCTTTGCCTGTAAACCACAGTTCTACCTTTTGGGAAAAAGTAAAATTATAACCATATGCATAGATGACTTCAAGAGAAAAATATTATTAATGCACCCATGATGTATCTTCACAACAACGCAGATACTGGTTACAGTGACGGAAACCAAATTGATTGGTTACTATTGGTTACTATGCACAACTGCACTAGATTCTGTGTGCAACAATGTTAGTAAATCTCCCCCTATGTGTACTATATGCTTCATTTTTTTGGATGGATCAAAAATACAAGACTGCTTTGATAAAACACTTTGCTGAAATAATACCAAAATGTAAATAAAAAGGTCTGTATTGACACAGTACACTGAAGTCCCAGGTACTAGAAGTGTATTTCCAAAACTCAGTACACTAAAAGCAACAGTTTTTTGAGTGGAAAAAATGTATTTAGTTCCAGAAGCTCTGTTTACAAAAAGCTGCCCTTTTGGAAACACGGGCTGGTCTCTACAAAACAGATTGCTGTTTTAGGACCACTTCCCACTACATGTGTTTCAGTTGCTTTTTTTCTGCATCCAAAACGCACAGAAAGTAGGTTATATGGTTGTCAATGACACAGTTCACAGTGCATTCTGGTTACAGAAAAAAAGTAGAACAGGCTGCATTTACTGTAGAACTGTACTGGAATGTGGTAAAACACATCAAAAACACACCGGAACATACAAAAAAAATGCATTGGAATGCACATGTCCCTATTTAAATTGAAGAAAAAGACGGGAAAAAATGAACCGGAATACATCAAAAACACGCCAGAACACTTAAAAAAAAAAAACGCATCAAAAAATGCACTGGAACTCACCAAAAACGCGTATACAGAAATGCATCTGGAACGCATTTAGATTGCATTTCTATGGTGTGACCGGCCCTAAAACCTACTTTCTGTGCATTTTGGATGCAGAAAAAAAAAAAGCACAACTGGCGAAACGCATGTAGATTCTATTTTGGGAACTATACCTATATCCCACTAAAAAAAAAAAAAAAAAAAAAAATAGCTGTTTCAGTTCCAGGAGCTCAATACGCTAAACCTTCTTTTCTGAGGAAAATGAAAGTTCTACTTGATAATATTTTTACATTGAAATGGCTAATAGTTCATTTCTTAGATATGCCAATAGCAGGGTGGAGTTGTTCTGCTGGAGCGAGTCTTGGACATAAAATCTGCGAAATTGCCAGTGGAGTTCGTTTTGCAAGACTTGCTCATCTTTAACCCCTAACATGTAACCTAAGACAAATGATCCCTGACTCCTTGAACCTAACTCTGAAAGCTGAATTCAGGTATGCTTTTATTGCATAGTCACATTAGTCCAGGGTGGACCAATGTGAGCATATATAGGACTGCTGTGGAAGCAGAGAATAGGTGACTACTACAGTGATTGTTTACTTCGACAACAATTGTTCAGGTATGAAATATGTATACTTATATTGGTCCAAGCTGGACTAATGTAACTGTGATAAAAACCATACCTGAGTCCAGCTTTAACCAAAGTAAAGAAGTAAAGGCTCAAGGTTTTTTACCTTCATGCATTCTATGTAAAAAACCTTCAATGTGCAGCTGTGCCCCCCTCCCCCCAAAACTTACCTGAGCCCCCTCTCGCTCTAGCGATGTGCAAGAAAGCAGAGGACTCTTCCTCCTCACTGGCTGAGACCGCAGCACGAACCATTGGTTCCCGCTACTGTCAATCACAACAAGTGAGCCAATTATAAGAAAGTGGGAGGTGAAGCCCAGCCACGCTAGTGTGTGAATGGACACACAGAGCACTGGCTCAGGAGCGAGCCTACTCAGATGCCCCTATAGCAAACAGATTGCTATGGGGGCACTCAGCAGAAAGGAGGAGCCAGGAGTGCCGTTCAGGGATCCAAGAAGAGGAAGATCAGGACTGCTCTCTGCAAAACCTTGACGTATGACATATTTGCTATTAAAAAAAAATCTGCCTTTAATATCACTTTAAAATTTAACCTGAAAATTAAATATTAGGAATTGTAAAACTTAAATCACTTAACATGGAAAAAAATATTAAGGATAGGCAAATCCTTCCATGTTTTGCTGGCTTATCAAGGCTCCAACAGTCTCATCAGTAGTTCAGGAATGTACCATGAAACTGATCATGCAAATAATACAATTAAAAGAAAATGCAGTCATAGTGTTTGAACTAAAAGTTGCATAATATGGAGGATACTATGAACACAATAAGGTCACTTATTGCGGATCGGTCTGCTCAGTGGGGGATATGTCCGCTGATCCCCGCTGAGCAGGTGGATGACAGGTCCGTATCCGTTCTGCTTATGCAGAGCGGACACAAATACAGTCCGCTCTTCTCAGTCGGAAGTCAGATGCAAATGGACTGCCCGTTTGTTTACATCAGACTGTCACCACTCTGCTAGATGGATGGGGAACAGATCCCCATCTGTCTGTTTTTAGTGGACCGGATCAAAACGGATGCAGATGGGTGGAAACTGACACATGTCCGTTCACATTCGCCACTCTATAGAGGGCAATGGATGATCCGATCGTATCCGCCTGAAAAACGAACAGTGTGAAAGGGGCCTAAAACGTCTAAGTAGACAAAAATGCATATAAAAGTATTTTTTTCTGAAATTCTCAAAGATATATTTCATTTTTTGTGACTAGAGTTACCATACTTTTTAAACATAAACTGCATCCGTCCATCAAACCATTCTATGAATTAACACCAAAGAGCTCCTCCCATAATATCTAAATTTTATAAGAAAGCCTCTTATAAATCTATAAAACTATCAGTACCACCATCATAAATGCAACTGAAATCAATAACCATAAATGTGAATTACCTGACTGTAAGTTTCTTCTTTTTCATCAACTATGCCACACATATCAGGATCTGTAGCCTGAAATCTCTGCAGTGTCTCCAGAAGTTGGAGCAATGAGGGGTACGGCCAAGGCAAGGATGCAGATAACAGGAACCTACGCCAGTTCATCATGTCCGAGCCCAGGGACAAGGATGAGGTTATTTCTTGTATCTAGAATGTAAAGTTTTCAAGTAACAATAAACTGTAAATATACTGTATACAAGACATATGTTACAATTTTTATATATATACACACGCTTTTTATTTTTAATTTATTAAACATTTAATATATGAAAATGATTTACAGGGATATGGGTTATCTAAAGAGACTCCACAGCAATCATTATCTCCTTTTAGGCATGATGACTCCTGGAAAGCTGTAGGGAGTAAGGAGGTAGAGTCACTATTTAGCTTGAGCTGTTTAGCTCTGTAAATAACAGGAGGTAGTGGGAGGATAGAAGAACAACAATTACTCATTTGTAATTTGTCAGATTTATCTTACTAAAACATTTTTGTAATCCGGATTATATATAAAAAGAAAATATATACCAAACCACAAAAACATTGAAATAAATTAACGTAGAACTATAGGCAAAACTTTTTTTTTTTTTCGTTTTGGATAGAGTAAGGAAGTGTTATAACCCCTATCGGTTCATTTTTTGCCATCTGTGCCCCATTGGGGAGATTTCCCTTCACTTCCTGTCTCATAGCCAAAACAGGAAGTGAGAGGAAATCCCTGCAAATTAGGGACCCCCAGACCAACAGAACCGGTACCCCAAGAAGATTTCCCCTCTATTACTTTTCTGGGGACAACCCAAAATTTGTGTTTTTCTTTTACTTTCACTTTCCATGCTAATGATAAACAGAGCACAAAAAGAGGGTGAATCTGCCCAATGGGGACACAGACAGCAATAAAAACTGATAGGTGTTCTAATCCATCTCGACTCTGTCCAAAACAAAAGAAAACGTTTGCCTTTAGTTATACTTTAATTTTCTTTACTTTTACATGTGCTCACTGTACAATATCTCCTTTACTATGCTTTATAAACAGATTTTTAAATTGACTTTTTTTTTTACTTGCAAACACATCTGATTTAGTTGTGGAAATAAATGTTAGAAATGAAGGGCATTATTTCAATAAGTAAGGTCCTAATGGTAGAAGTTTAGAGAAGAACTGTAAAGCATGACCACTGTGTATCACTACTAAGGAAGAAGCAGAGCCTGCATATGTAATGTCCAAATTTGAATTCCCCCATGTACATATACTATATACAGAAACAAGCTCTTTAAAGTGATTGGGCCAGCACTGTCATGTGATGGGGGTGGGTGCAGTCCTAAGCCTTGTGTAACAACTCTAAATCCATACAAACTGTCCTTTCTTGTGCCAAACTGTCTCACTTAGTGTAGTAGGCAGCACTGTGGCTAAGTGGTTAGCACTTCCGCCTAGCAGCACTAAGGTCACTGGTTCAAATTCCAACCACGACACTACCTGCACAGAGTTTGCATGTTCTCCCTGTGCCTGTGTGGGTTTCCTCTGGGTACTGCAGCTTCCTCCCACACTCCAAATACATGCTGGTAGGTTAATTGGCTCCTGTCCAAACTGATGGAACTGAATGTAGTATTTGGCCTCAGTTGAGATAAACAGAGAATATACAGGAGGAGAACTTCAGAGGCACATGAGGAAATTTTGGTTGCCACAAGCTAGATTACAACAAATCTTAACATACCTCAGGCAGAGTAAGATGCATCCATACATCTGGAAGAGTATCATCTCCAAGATTCATTGTAGTGAGATCCATGAGGATTTCTGTAAATTTCTTACTTGATATTATACCTACAAAAGGGAGACAGTCATTTCAGTCCTTTTAAACAACATACTGTATGTATCTACGAGGGGAGTTCAAGTCAAACCAGGACTTTTAATTTTACAGGTATAAAAAGGATGCTAGCGTGGCAATAATACACACAATAGTAAGTGATAAGTGTGTCTTATTACTGATAGGTGGACAAAAGGGTTAGTGTGTGAATGGAACAGCGTGTGGTGAGGAGGTTTCTTGTGAATGAAGGCGTAAAACCAGTGGATATCTACAGAAACTTCAAGCACAGTATGCTCAGCCATAGTAAAACATTTGAATGGTGTAAACATTTCAAAGATGGCCATATGTCCGTCAGTGATGATCCCGGCCATGGTGGTTCCCAGCCCACAGCGGTCATCCTGAACATAGAGTGCCTGGAATGCCTGATCCTGGATAATCAACGCATACCCTGTCATGAAATTACACAAGAGACAAATCTTTCTATGGGGTGAACACAATGATGACGAAGTGAAGCCGGCTGTCCTGGGATGGTTCAAGCATACTGACAAAACTTTAAATGCTGAAGCTTTCCAGACATTGGTTAAACGCTGGGATAAGTGTATAAATGTAGCAGGGGAGTATGTAAAAAAATAAATTCAGTTTCAACGTCTTGAAATTTGCTCTTTTATTATATATTATTATTTATTTCTGGTACTTATATAGCGCCATCAATTTACGCAACGCTTTACATATATATTATACATTCACATCAGTCCCTAACCCTCAAGGGGTGTACAATATAAACGCAAAAGTCCTGGTTTGACTTGAACACCCCTCATACATGAACAGATAAGCAGGCTGATAATCCAAATATGTAAGATCTTTTCCATAAAATGTAGAGTCTTCCCTATTTGAAATGAGTTAGACTTGTCTCTCTGTAGTACTCTACAGTAAACAAACTTCAGCAGATAAATCCAACAGTCATTTCATATTGCTGCGCTGAGGTTCAGCTGCATCGCGGTTGGTCCCACAGTTCTCTTGCAGGTTACCAGCGGTTGCCCATGGACTTATGTCAGGTATTTTTGGTACGTTATCTGAAAGCGCACTAAAAGTCCTACGTGCTGCATCTTTGCTGTGCCCTCAGAAAATGTGCCAAAAATGTGAGAAAAATAGAATGTCTATGTGAAACTGCAGATAACCAGCAAGAAAAAACCACGGGTACATCTGTGCTGCAGCCAAACCACAGCACAGCAGTGTGAAACAGCAAAACTAAATATTATTTATTAAAGGATTACTGAAGTATGACATTTAGTGGTTTAATTATGTTTTCAACCAATATTCAATCAAATTTCATCCAAGATTTATCCATTTTGTTACAATGGAATCTTATGTGAAAATGGATGAATTTTGTGTTAAAGTTGTGTGAATCTTGGGTGAAATCATTGATTAATAGACCCCTTAAAATGAAACTAGAAGTCTGTATATTGTGTGCAATATAACAGCATCTACTTTAACAAATGTACTTGCCTCTCACATTTTACTTACTTGTTACTGTTACACTTCTATTTCAGTAATTTATATACAGATATACAGATCTATACATGTTCCCACTAGTTGTCATCTGTATGTCACTGATTGTGATTAATATCCTTGTCTAAAGTCAAAATAGTTTTTTTTGCATTTTGAAAAATGGTTAAACACCCTGTTTTTCTTTTTGTTTTCTTTCTCCCATTGGGGAGATTTTCTCACATTTCCTGTCCTGGAGACACAACAGGATGTAAGAGAATACCCCATCTCAGACAGCTGTTACCAGAACAGATGTCACCATTGGAGAATTTCTCTCATTTACTGTTGCGATGACAACTGTAAAACTTTGCATTCCTATCACTTCTGCCCCATTGACAAGGGTCATCAGAACAAACAGAGAGAGAGAGAGGAATCTCCCCAGTAAGGACACGTAGCATAAAAAACCCCCTAAGATTTCAATACATCTTCATTCTGTGCATAACTAAAAAACTTTTGGCTTTAGATATATTTTAATAATTGTAGAGATAAGCTCAGTTAGTTTTACAAGTATATTTCCTTCTGTATAGGTGTACAATTCCGTTGAAATGTAACAGATGGTTGCAGTGTTGTTTTTACATCTCTCAAATTGCTTAATTATTTACATTTATTAGTCTTGCTAACTTGCCCACTAGCTCTGTGCATTACTGCTATTTTGTAAATTAGCAAAGAGCTTAGCTATACCTTCAGGAGCCATCTGCAGAAACTGACGATGTAATCTGTGAAGCTGGGATATGGTCAGTGTGCTGTTGCTGGACGCTTCCACTGGAGGAGGTCTGGGAGGTGGGATAGGATCTGGGAAGACTTTGACATCAGAGCTGATATAGAAATCAGTTTGCTCCAGGACTAGTTCATACTGTATCTTGGTGCTTGTTTCAATGTGGTGACGAGCAGTCTGAATCAACTTGTCAATACTGCAAAAAGATATAAAGAAAGGCAATCCTCACTGAAATATTTGGTTTATGACTATAGTGTTACTAAACCCAGGACCCTGCATTCACTATATCTGGTCTCCTTTGACCCTGCATTCACTATGTCTGGTCTCCTTGGACCCTGCATTCACTATATCTGGTCTCCCAGGACCCTGCATTCACTATATCTGGTCTCCCCGGACCCTGCATTCACTATATCTGGTTTCCCAGGACCCTGCATTCACTATGTCTGGTCTCCCCGGACCCTGCATTCACTGTATCTGGTCTCCTCGGACCCTGCATTCACTATATCTGGTCTCCCAGGACCCTGCATTCACTATATCTGGTCTCCTTGGACCCTGCATTCACTATATCTGGTTTCCCAGGACCCTGCATTCACTATGTCTGGTCTCCCCGGACCCTGCATTCACTATATCTGGTTTCCTCGGACCCTGCATTCACTATATCTGGTCTCCCCGGACCCTGCATTCACTATATCTGGTCTCCCAGGACCCTGCATTCACTATATCTGGTCTCCCCAGACCCTGCATTCACTATATCAGTGTTCAGAAGAGCACTAGTTAAAGCTTGTAGGTGGAGTTTTCATTCTCCTCTGACTGTCCTATGAGGCTGCATAACCCCTGGCCCTCTGTCTGGACAGCGCTGGTTGGCCCTGTGCTGATCACATGCATCCTTCCAAAAAAAAAAACCTATCTAGCCATACACACCAAACTGAGCATGTGTAGAGAGACACCTACGGCACTGTACTATCAGCAGATGCATTGGGGACAGTAGAAGAAGAGGAGGATCAGAGAAGATAGGATCAAACAGCCTTTTAACACAATGTGGAGGATTAAGCCCTTAGGTTCCACAGTGAGTAAAACAAGCATGCTTTGCTGCATATACAAACCGATTTTACTGTTTTGGGTTCAGTAACACTTTAAGTTATAATTTAGCTGGAAGCTTTATTGTGATAAAAGAAGAAAAGTAGAAGTAAAGTGCCCTTTGTGCCCCTTTTGATCAATATGTACTCTAGTACCCTGTATGAACTAAAATATACTGCAACTAGAAAAGCTACAATTTCTGGGGAAATTGTGTGAAGTGTTCTTCCCTCCACCAGTAGTCTACAACTGGAGTGGGCGGAGTAACTGGGTGAAGTAACTGTTGTGTGGTTGGAGTGGCTGGAGTAACTGTGAAAAGGTTGGACTGGGCAGAGTAACTTTATGGAGTGGGCAGAGTAACTGTGTGGAGTGTTTGGAGTAAAGATAGTAAACATTACCCTAACCAATTGATTGATCAAATTTAAAAAGTGCACATGGCAAGCGTGATAGAGTGAGAAATGCATTTCAACTTTTAATTATTTATATAGCACATTTAATTGCAATGTTGTTGCCCAAAGTGCTTCAGAGTTACATTAAAACATTTTTCCTCATAAATTTAGGCCACAACCTATTCTGCTACATCCCAACAAGTGAATATTAATGGGTTTTGCATGATAATTATAGTGTCTACAAACGATGTTATAGATACTGTAATTTTTTTTTTTATTCTAGTAATGGTGGCGATCAGCGACTTATAGTGGGACTGTGATAGTACGGCAGGCATTCACTGGGTGGGAACTGACTAACTGCTACTGACATCTCCAGTGACACTAATATTGTGATCAGTGCTAATAAAAAACACTGTTACTGTACTAGTGACACTGGGTGCCAGGGATTGTTATTGCTTGTGCTGTTTTATTAGGGGATGTGCTGGTTTTTATTCCCTACTTTGCAGGGAGATAAAAGCCAACACATTACTGCTGACAGGAGACAGATCTGTGTTGTTTACATACGCAGATCTCTCTCCTGTCACTCGCTCTGCCGATCACCAGCCAGGACTCAGTGATTGACATGTAAAGGAGCCAATGACGATGAGGGTAGGTGGGTGCACATGCGTGCGCCCACTAACCGGAAGAGCACAATCATGTATGTATATATATATATATACATATATACATATACACATTTGATTTTGCGCAGCTGTCCCGCACTGTAGCAGTAAAGCTACAGTGTGTTGTCAGAAAAATTGAAGTGTTCTGGGCAATGCTCCCCAAGAGATAAGGGACACTGGGCTCCATTCACTAAAGCAGATCGCATGCAGTATTTAGGTGTCTGGACACATTTTCCCTAAATATTGCATGCAATCCTGAAATTTTTCAATTCACTATGCTGCTTTGTGATACTAACCGCAAAACGCTCAAAACGATCAGTAAATACTGCATAAAAAGGGGTTAAAGTCAATGTACAGAAGGAAATAAATATTTAAATGCATGCGGTATTCAAGAAGTGGTCCAGGCATGTGGTATGTAACATAAACATAAAATAAAAATATAATAGCCAATTTGGAGCAGTTTATGCTTTTTTAGATCAGTTCTCTCAAATGTTCAAGAGTATAGAAAACTAAATAAGGAAAGATGGAAATCATTGGGGTTGATTTACACAGGGCACACCACATGTGTCCTGTGAAAGCAGCTACCCTTTCACTGGTATTCTAGTCACCTTTTTCTTTTGTATTAATACATACACTGCAGGGACTTCACTGAGTTGGCATATTTCTATGATTTAAACCATTTTACCTCTTTATTAGTAATAAAAACTGACATGGGTTTTAATTCTTCCCAACTGTATCCATCCCATTGGATATCGCATGACATAAAATACAGCATGGTTTCATGAGATAAATACCGCATATTTTAAAAAAATACAGCATGCGATTTTTAATTCATGCTAAAAAAATTATTTAAAAACGTTAAGCGGTATTTTACCACATTTCTTACAGTGGTAGATACCGCTTCGTGAATGGAGCCCACTATGCTGCTCATGTGGATCTGGAAAGAACACAGTACTATGGTTACTTACCTTGACATCTCAGCAAGGAAGCGAGCCCCCAGCCACATGTTCATGTCTTTATAAGTCTGCTGTGCTTTTGATAACACGTCCTGGTACACTGCCAAGGCTTTTGTTTTTATCAGTTCAAGCCGAGCATTCACAGCTGCCTCTGGAGGAAAAAACAGTTTAATCACAATGTATGAAGAAATGTGTAATTGTACACAATGGCTCCTGCTGCTGTCAATCACAGCGTTTGAGATGGGGGGGGGGGGGGACTGAACTGTGCTGTGTGTGTCAAAGGACTCAGGGCTCAGTAGCGAACCCAAATGAGTGCCCCCGTAGCAAGCAACTTGCTATGGGGGCACTCAGAAGGGAAGAGGAGCCAAGAGCACTGGAGGGGGACCGGAGAAGAGGAGGTTTGGGGCTGCTCTGTGCAAAACCACTGCACAGAGCAGGTAAGTATAACATGTTTGTTATTTTAAAAAAATACTTTTACAATCACTTTAAGTATTATCATGACGATTCACAGAAAAATACTTTATATTAAGCTCCTTACTCTGCAGAATTTTGCGAACAATTTTTTAGAGAAAAATACAGAAAAACATAGGAAAATATTTTTTGATCAGACCAAATACATTGTTTTATGTGAATCAAAACTATCAGAATGGTAAAATTGAACAAGCCATAGCAATAAACAAAATAATACAATGGTCCTGTTCAAAAGTTAGTATATCCTTAATTCTTAAAGTGGTTTTAAAGTCTATTTTTTTTTTTTTTTTTACCTTATAGTATTCTCTGCATTAAGGTAAAAAAAAAAACACCCACTACCTATCCTACCCAGCCCCATCACTAAACACTTACCTGACTCCTCTGCCCTGGCTACAGCACCCGTCCGCTCACTTCCTTGATTGATTCACAGGAAACACTGACAGCAGCGGGAGCCATGGGCTCCCACTGCTGTCAGTCAAACCCCTGTGAGGACAGAGTGGAGCTATGGTTTGATGGTGTGGTGTATGAGATTGTAATGGCCACTCCGGAACTCACTAAAGGCTTGGGTTTTCATTTCGAATCATTGTCATCTTGAAAAATCCCATTTATGGCTTCAAGGCTAATAAATACAATTTTCCTTGTTTCTCAAACTATGCTCCATTCATCTTACTATCAATTTTGATTATGGTAGTGATGGTGTGATTCTCTTCACAGACTTTGTTGACTGTTCTCCAATATGGCATTTATGGTTCTGAAATAAAGTTCAAATGATTTCATTCCATACATTATGAGGCTTCTCTAGTTGCTATTTAGCATACTGTATGCCAGTTAAAAATGGCTAACACTTTACAAATATGACAGGGGTATAAAAACATATGAACACAATTGTATATGGGAGGAAAGAGGTATCTTCCAGTGAAATCCACCTTCAGGATTATTGCCAATAAAAAATATTTTTTATTTAAAGTCCATATATGGTAGAATAAGCTTTGCCACCTGCTGTAACAATGAATGTATGTTTGCACACAAACTTGGCTGGTGTTATTTTATAATGCACATGGCTCATTCTATACTTTATGGATTTGAAGTAAAAGTTGGGTTATAAATGTCAACAACCCTAGAAGGGGTGTTTACTGGGGGGATCCTTTTGTATTTACATTTATGCTGGCAGAAATAGTGGAGCTGGCTTTCATTTAAGGATTACATACCGTATTTTTATGTGACCTTAAAGTGGAAGAAACCCTAATTATACTGTAACTATCCTGCAGCTCTGATGTAAGGGAGGACTCAGCAATAGCTGTTTATTCTGAAAGTGGTGACATCACACATAAGTTGCCATAGCCCAGAAGTTGTCAGCACTCCCTCCTTTCCGCTGCAGCAGCTGCTCACTGACACAAGGGAGCTGGAGCAGAGGGAATCAGGTGACTGGACCAGAGTGGAATGAAAATAGAAAGTACACATATCTTTTTTATAGAGGTTAGGCAAGACAGGCAGGAGGATAAGGGAGGGAACATTTTTAAGAATAGGTATAGTTAGGCTTTTCTTACACTTTAATATTTTATCTGTTTGCTATTCCATACTAATTAGATTTGCACTCTAGTGGATACCTCTATGTCTAATTAGGAACTCCAGGCTGAACTACTGACATAAAACCAATTACATAATGCGTTACCTTGAGATTTTACTGTTTTCAGCGAGTCTGAGCTGAGCTATAATAGATTGCACTAAGAAAAACGTTGCACTAAAGAAAGATTGATGTATTGCACTACTAAATAAAATTTATAGTGTGTAAATGTAGTTATGTATACTTTACAATAAACATGTGGGTCTATCTTAGCTTTTAAGGTGGTACTAGGTTCTTACAGCAGTCATTTAACGCCCTTTATGGATCTTCGATCACCTACTGTAAGAAGGTTAAGTAAGCCTACTACTTAAACTGTTGTCTGTGGATTTGCCCTTTAACATGTTCTCTGTATTGATTAAAGCAGATCTGCACATTTCACATACTCACCCACCCAGTGGATCCAGCGTAGTCCTGCTGAGATCCTCTTCTCCTCTGTCCTCACTGCACCACCATCTTTTTATGTAATGTCATTGGGAGGTTGCTGCCTCTTCCAGGTTTAGCAGGCGGGCATACTCTTCCTTTATCAATGAAGGACTATGCCTCCTGAGATATGTGACATGCATATCCCAGGAGGTACAGCGGGCATAGTGCACATAATTCACCTAGGGGAGCGACATGCAAGGATAGGAGCAAAAGTCTTTTGTTTAAATGAAAAAAGTGGCCTATTTGTCTAGTGGAGGGGAGGATAGGGGTGAACTTTCATTTCAGGGAGAAGATCAACTTTAAAGTGTTACTAAGCCCAGGACCCTGCATTCACTATATCTGGTCTCCCACAGTACACAGAACATGGAAATACAATTATTTTGCTAAATACCTTTTCTCATCAGCAGTTAGAGCAGTCTTGTGACTTCTATCAGTGTCCAGCCGAGCACTGGTTAAAGCTTGTAAGAGGAGTTTTCTTTCTACTCTAGGAGGATGCAGAACCCCTAACCTCTGTCTGGACAGTGCTGATTGGCCCTGTGCTGATCACATGCACTCACGCAAGAAAAAAAATACCTCTCTAGCAATATACACCAAACTGAGCATGTGTAGAGTGTCTCCACACGATATGTCTTATCAGGGATAAGAAGGGTCAATGGAATAAGGGAAGGATCAAACGGCCTTTTTACACAATGCAGAGGATTAACCCCTTAGGTTCCACAGTGAGTATAACAAGCATGCTTTACTGCATATACAGACTGATTTTACTGTTGTGGGTTTAGTAACATTTAAATATCAAAGTTTGCAATGACACATTGTAACTGGATTATAATTGCAACACAATAATACCTTCACATTCCAGTGCAGTGAAATATTCTTGCTTCATTTTCATTTGCATTTCCTGTTGTCGTTGCAGCTCTGTGTTGTCCTCAGGAGCTGAAGGGGGAGGTGAAGGGGCTGAAGGTCCAGGAGATTTTCCTCCTGTAAGAAAAGTAAAATGCTCAGAATTTCCTTTATTTTATATCTGGACATGTACAATTTATCTCAGTGTGAGTTTGCAGTACTTAGCTGATGTGTTCCCTTTAGAGGTACTGCTTTTTCTCATTTAGCGATCTGGTGAACGGCTGGCTGGATCCTATTTACCACTACATCTTCAATCTGGCCTATGGTTTGCAGGCCTATCGGCTGGCCAGAGTATGGTAACAAAGGGGTTGGAGATGGAAATTGATGATACTGCTAATGCTTTCAGAAACGTCAGTATTTACATACAATAGCATTTCATGGGGCTGTAATGGCAGACTGGGGTAATGGCGGCTGCAGCGTCACTTTACTGTGAGAAACACGGCAACAGGTTTACTTTAACCTCCCTAGCGGTCTGATTATGTCCATATTTCTGTGCTCAAAGCGGTACATTTTTTTGCATGGATATATGTATTTTTTTTATTGTAGGCTTGTAATTTTTAGGAATAACTCACTGAAATCTGTCTGAACAAGAGTCTAGTAAACATCCCGGGTATGATAAAATTTGAAACACGAAATCATAAATTATAATTTAATAAATAATCATAAAAAAATAATAATATAATAATAATACATTTAATTCAATAATATAATCAAACCAAAAAACCTGAAATTTTAAATATAGCGCCAAGTTCGCACATCACTGAGCAAAGTTGCAAAATTGTTTTCAGTGTCTGATGACGAATTTCCCCCACGAATCATTATCACTCAATTCTGCAAGAGGTTCTAATTTACTATCGCTGTTCTCTAGCTGATCTAAAGCCGCTTTTGACCTAAAGGGACGCTTTTTGGACGCCATGGACATTTCTCAGTTTCCAGGCAGAAAGAACAGTAAAAATGCAGGCAGGGCGCAGGACAAAGCACTCGGGACAAAATGTATGTGAAATGGTTTGATACAGGAATGTTTTACTATGTGATTTTAGTGTATTTAGTGAATGTCACTTTTTGTCATTTTCAAATTTCCCGCCGTTCCATCTCCGTACGTCCCGACGTCACAGGGGATGGAACCCAGAAGACAGATGCCGGCATCCGCCGGAGCACATTACAGGGGACACTGCAGGAGGGACATCACGGGAGCGCAGGACAAGGTAAGAGAAGAACAGATCCCGGAGCAGCGCCGCATGGTAAGCCGAGTGTAGCTCGGGGTTACCGCTTGTGGTACTGAAAGTTTACCCCAAGCTACACTCGGGAAACCGCCAGGGAGGCTACCTGCTAACTCAAAAACCATAAAAACCTGCAATATTTTCCCTAGTGAAATATTACTTTAACTGCTAAGCCAGTAACATTTTATTCCAATGGCCAAAAGGGTACTTATCTTTGCCCAGAATGAGTGAAGGGGGGTGCAAACTATTACATCATGATAATGGGTACTTAAAGCGGAACTGTGTTCAGACTGTGGATATTCAACTATTTACATCAGGGGTGTCCAACCTTTTGACTCTCCTGGGCCACATTGGAAGAAGAGGAATTGTCTTGGGCCACACATAAAATACACTAACAATAAGGATAGCTGATGAGCAGAAAAGGTCGGGCACATCACAAGTTAATGGTCACTGATATAGATAATTTACCTATCTAATATGATATGATAATAGAGTAATAAAACTTTATTTTTTTGTAATATTTATTATTATAAAAGAAGAAGTGGTCAACATAAAATTAGTGCGATATATGACCCTGTTTTTGATAAACTAACTCATCAATATATGGTTGGATGGATGGATGGAGAAGCAATTCTCCATGCATTCTCAAGGTGGTTGTCAGATACTTTGGTTCTAATTCTGCCCTTCGAATGCTTCCTCCTTGAAAACAGTTGCTAACAAATATAGGTGCGGCTGAAAACTGATGACATGAATAAGACGTTACTGTGAAGAGTGGGAGATTTTTCTTTGGGAAGATAAAACTTAGAAAAGTCCAGTAACAAGACTATCAAATTTTTCTTCGGCCGTGTGTGTTCACTAACAGTAAACACATTTTTTACAAAAAATTAACTAAAAAATTTTTTTAAGTAAGTTTACGTTTTTGTGTTGGGCTGCATTCATAGCTGTCTTGGGTTGGACAAGCCTAATTAACAGGTTCTTAATAAAAAGTAAAACTGCTTAAAATAAGCACTCACTGACCTGAGTCTGGTAGCCTTTTACTCTGTAATCTAAACGTGAGGTATAAGCACAGGAGGAGGACAGAGCAGGGTGCTCAGACCCCACTAAAACTACTTCACTTGATTTCTTGTGAATTATGAAGATGAATTTCTTAACAGTGCTGCAGTTACAGAGGTCAGTGAGGGAATGTATTAGAGCTTATTTTTTGCTTGTTATGAATTTGTAATTTTCCAAATATCCATAGCCTAGCCTCAGTTCTACTTTAAAACCGAGAAAAAAAACTCCTTCTTTTAAAAGGAAAGCCAAATGCTGAGTCCACATTACAGAGCATTTTTATTACATACTAATAATAAATATCTTATGTGCAGGGCCTTATTAACCCTCTTGTTTTGATTGTATTGTAGCTGTACTGTCTCCCTTTATATTGTAAAACGCTGCGTAAACTGTTGCCACTATATAAGTCCTGTATAATATTAATAATAATAACTACACTAGACCTTAAAGCTGAACTCCATGCACAAAAACATTAATTGAAATAAATTTAATAAATAATAGCCATAGAAGATATAAACCTATTTTGTATGCAGCATATGCAAACCCAGATTTTATAAAAGTTAATGACATTTTCACCATGCTATATATGGCCTGTGAAGACATCAGACCAGTCTGGTTCAGGATGTCACATATAATACAAGTTTCTCTTAGAGAACATGTACGCATTAATAGTACCTTTTTTTCTGTTAGGTGATTTTGGAGGCTTCTTTTTTGCCCCTTTCACGCTTTCTCTGGAAGCTGCCTGGGAGGCTTTAGCACGTTCCCTTTCCCTAGCTTCCATCATTTGTTGTTCCTTCTCCTCTTCTGCTTCTATTGATTCTTTTTCAAGAGTCATCTGCAGTCATGACAGGACAGTTATTAAATATTACTTACTGCATTAGTCGTCAACTATAGAAATAAGAGCTATCTACAAATGCAGATACTACAGGCGAGCCATTCTCAACAATAACTTGGAGGATCCCTAGGTTTGCTCTAGAACGGGGGTCAGCAACCCGTAGATCATGATCTACCAGTAGATCGCGGTCAGGTGACTGGTAGATCACGATCTGGGCTTGCTGACCCGCCAATACAGAGCATCAAACAGAGTGCAATGCAGAGGGAATGCTTGTAAAGTTGGAGCTGCAACAGAACCGTATAAGCCGATGCCTCCCCTGTACTGCTGGCTCCTGTTCCATGTCGAGTGATACCAACTGCATTCCACCTCATTCACAAGTGTAGCAGACACTGCTACTCCTCTGAAAAGTGATCAGAGTGTGTTTGACAGGTGGTAGGAAGGTGATACTCTATGGTGCAGCATGGTAGTACAACAATTAGAGGTTTTAATCAGGTGTGAGGAGACAACGCTGTGCCCAGTGATCTTTGACTTTACTCATATTGTTCAGGTAGATCTCCACTTGCCTACACCTGATCTAGAATATGCCAGAGGGTTCCTTGAGCAGTGACAGACTGACCTCCTATCTAATGGTCAGCACATAGTTCCAGGGCCCACATGACCCACATGACTTGAGAGAACCAGTGAAATAACAACTATGATCTTTAAAAGGGTGGCATTCTTCCGCCAACCACTACTGTCGAAGAGGAAAAGAAATTTAATCTCCAAACACAGAAAGGTAAGAGCTGTGAAAATGTGGAATAGACTCCCTCAAGAGTTGGTTCTGGCCAGCTCAGTGGATTGCTTTAAAAAAGGCCTGGATTATTTCCTAGATATACAGAATTTAACTGGATACTAATATTTATAGGTAAAGTTGATCCAGGGAATATCTGAAAGCCTCTCGGGGGATCAGGAAGGAATGGTTTCCCCTGCAGGAGCAAACTGGATCATGCTTTGCTGGGTTTGTTTGCCTTCCTCTGGATCAACTGTGGGTATAGGATAACTTTTTTTTTTTGGCTGAACTGGATGGACTTTTGTCTTTTTCAACTAGACTAACTATGTAACTATATGCAATATTTTTTATTCTTTTATTTATTATTATATCTAAACTTACTGATCTTGCTAATTTACCGTGAGCAGTAGATATAATTTAAAGTTCCTGACACCCAAAAATGATTGCCTTTGGGGTAAAAAACTTTGGAAATGCTGCCTTGGGCTCCATCCACTAAACTGTTTTTTTTCTTGTGTATTTTCTTGATACCATGCCCTAGAGAGCTCTAAATGCTTAGGGTGTATAATATTCTTTATTTAAAAAGTATGTAAACCTCAATAATTAACATCTCTCTGTTGATCTGTTGTTTATTTGTTCTTGTGTTTAGATATGCTTTTAGTTTAACCACATGTATAAAATAAACTCACTGAATTCTGCACTCATTGTCTGTATTTCCCCTGTCTGAAAACAGCTGTATAAATATCCCAAAAAGGTATTAGCAAGATTTCATGTATGAAATACAGCATGCACATGAAATTGTGTTAATACCCTTCTGAAATATTTATACACATTGGTGCTGTATTTCATACATGAAATCTTATCCACATACTGTATATCTTTACCAGCCTTACGCTTGCCATATTCTGAGCTGAACAAAAAACCCTAAACGATTCCTCCATCCATCCAGTGTCAATAGAGAAATCCAGGTACAGATAAAAGGATCTCTCACTGCGGTTATTATATTCTGTAATCTTCCTCTATGCCTATTGTATTCTTACAGCCGCTGTTGATGGATGTCACAATAACTGAACATCTGCTGAACCTGATTGGATGCAGAAGCTCTTCTTGAAATTTTCTGTTTGGCTCCTTTCGACTTTTCAATCATAGGATGTCATACATGAGGATGGCGACAGGACCACCCACAGATTGAATTTTGACCGGTTCATTAGGAACCAGCCAAAAATCACATAGTGTATGGCCAGCTTAGGTTGGCTACACACTCTTAGAATACTCTTGTTCAGCGATGCGGGCTAAACTGTTGATTTCCCCATGCAAGCTAAACAGTGTAGATAGAGGTATCTTCCTTACTGGCTTTTGTATTCTGACCTGCAGATCTCAGAATCCCTGAACACTGGCTACAGATGATTGACTGCAGTCACTATTCAGTCAACAATTTTTCACTCAGCTCCTGCAATTTTCAGAACAAAGGATGTTGGGTGGAGGGTTGCTGACAGGGTCACCCACAGCTTGCATTTTTTGTCACTTCATCAGGAGCCAGCCGAAATGAGTTGTGGTATGACCAAATGTAGTATACAGTATTTACAGCTCAACTATCAATCATGTTGTCTATACTATTTATTGATCATAACCAATGTATGCTTGCTTTTGGCTTGTCTTGACTTGGAGATGAAGATGTTCAACAGTGTGCTATGAAGTGAAATTACCATATTTGTGATAGCAGATAATGCTGTTTGCAATGTGTCGTAAAAATAATTTTCTGATCAGTTTCAGAGATGTGCCCACTGCTCTCCATGGAGGGATCATATTTTCCTTTTGTTGCAGCATGCTTATTTCTCTGTTTGGCAGAACTCTGCTCCGGGGACTGAGTTCTTCGATGAACAAGTGGAATCCTTCAAGCAGGAAACATATTTATCAAGCACAATCATCAAAGTAGAATAACATTCCTATAATAATGTAAGCCTTGCAATCTCTCCAGTATAAGTAAAGAAATCACAATAGCACTGCTCTTAATAACTATAATACAGACACATTACAGAGGAACTATCGTACAAGCTGAAGTTTATGTATGGCAATTTTTACATAGTTACATTGGTCCAGCTTGGAAAAATGAAGTATATATGTGCCATACCTATGGGATCCCCATGGAAGCTGGAAAACACTCTCATCACTATAACAGTGATCTCCACTAGCTTTCGGGTCCCAAGCCAAGGGGTTTCCCTGCTGTATTGTGAGGTCCCTTGCTCAGCTTGAGAGCCGTTCAAGGGACATGTTGCATTTTTATCAATGATTGCAAAGTGTTCGCTGGTTTGATGAGGTGGGGAGGCGGGTGACCAGGTGACCTCCACCTCCAGCTACTACTGATATCTGAAGAAGTCAGTAAAAGTTTTTGCTGCTGATTTCCCAGACAAAATGGCCAACTTTGATTAGAAAAGGTATAGTTGGTAGGGTGCTAAGATGAAAATGAAGAGTGTCACTTCATACACAAGGCTCATTCTATGGGAATGTATAGAAACTTTTTGTACCTTTTGGGCTGTTCAGGTTCCTCCTGTACAGTGGATTTAATGATATCAAGCAAAGGAATACGGGAGAATTCCTGGATGTTTTCAGATGGAATTTTGTTCTCCATTCCTTGATAATAATCATGAAGAAATCTCATTGTATCTTGAAATCGGTCAACTTCTGCCTGTGTATAAACATCCCAATGATATACCAAGAACAACAAATATATAGAACATTCAAGCCTATAAATATCAAATGTGCATTAGCTGCCCTTCCATAGGGGGAACCCTAAATGGCAAATGGTATCAGGCTGATGTATATATAATTGTTTGCCTCAATATCCAACCATGACTAAATACATAAAATCCCAAAAATATTTTGGATGACACAGCTGGAAATGCTACTGGATCTCCTTTGTCCCAGCAAACAACAAGCTGACTGAAGGCTTCCTGTCTTGACCATTAACTGAATTGACAGAGCTGTCATCAAAAATGTCTAGGGGGTGCGACTACTTGCATATAAATAATAGTGATGGGTCAGGATCATCACCTGTATTTTAAAAATAGTGATGGTTCAGGATTTCTACAGCCAGTGTGTAAACTGTAGGGAGAGGAGAAATGTAATATTTATTTATTTATTTATTTATTTCAGGTACTTATATACCACTGTCAATTTACTCTTTACATATGTATTATACACATCAGTCCCTTCCCTCAAGGAGCTTACAATCTAAGGTCCCTAACTCACATTTATACATAAATATAATAGGGCCAATTTAGACAGGAGCCATTTAACCTACCAGTATGGTTTACAGTGAAGTGAAGTTGCTTGAAGTGGCATTTAAAACTTGCTGCTTTATCCTTTGCACAGTTCTCACTTAAAGAAGATACAGGTTATACTGGAGCAAATTACTGCACTCCACAGACAAACCTCAGTATGCTGGGCATGCTTGGTATTAATTATATTAGCATACAGGGGTATTTTTTTGCAATGAGAATAAGCCCCATTGACTCAAGACAGCCCATCAGAATTTGTTTTTCCATCATCTGACTTCAGGAAATAGCTATATAGCTCGCAGAGTTAATGCCCTGAAATTCAGCATTGCTCCTTGCATTGTCTTAAGTGAATAAGCTTAGTAATAGGAATAGCAGCACCTGCCATAAAGATTTATGAAGGCAGCAATGAAAATAGTAACTGACAAAACGACAGCGCCTAAGCCTGGGAACATGAGAAAAACCACATTCACAAGCAGCCCACACTAGGAAATACAAGGCACACTAGTTCCTTTTCATGTTGGGAAGACTGTCACCTGCACAGTCAGAGTTTCTTGGTGGCCTTGGTATTGGAATACACCGATCAGCCAAAACATTATGACAATCCACCCTAATATTATGATCACCCTCCATAACATTATGACCACCCACCTAATATTGTGTAGGTTCTCCCCCTTTTGCCAACAAAACAGCCCTGACCCATCACGACATGGACTCCAGTAGACAAAGTATCACACGGCCTCCATCAGCTTGCCTTCTTCCCATAGTGCATCCTGATGCTATCTCATCCCCAGGTAAGTGCCAAATATGCACCCGGCCGTTCTCTTGATGTAAAACAAAACATGATTCTTCACACCAGGCCACATTCTTCCATTGTTCTGTGGTCCAGTTCTGATGCTCACGTGCCCATTGTAGGTGCTTGGCTGTGGACCCGGGTCAACATGGGCACCCTGACCAGTCTGCAGCTACGCAACCCTATTTGTAACAAACTGTAATGCACTGTGTGTTTGAACAGCTTTCTATCCAAACCAGTATTAACTTTTCAAGCAATTTGAGCTACAGTAGCTCTATTGGATTGGACTACATGGGCCAGCCTTAACTCCCTATGAGCATCAATAAGCCTTGGCCACCCATAATGCTGTCGCCAGTTCTCCTTCCTTGGACCACTTTTGGTAGGTTCTTACTACTATAGACTGAAAACATTCCGCAAGAACTTTGGAGTTCCTCTGACCCAGTCATCTAGACATTACAATTTATCCCTAGTCACAGTCGCTCAAATCCTTACACTTGCCCATTTTTTATGCTTTCAACACCATGTTCAATAGCTGCCTAATTTATCCCACCAACTCTCAACCAACGAACGCTATTACCCTCTATTCACTAAAGCAGATTGCATGCAGTATTTAGGTGATCTGTCATGTTTTTCCCAAATATCGCATGCAATGCTGAAAATGTCAATCCACTATCCCTTTATGCGGTATTTACCTTAAAAAGCGAAAACACTTAGTGGTCCAGGCATGCAATAGTTAAGGTATCTGTTTCATTTTAGCCAGGGGCCGCTGGCATCCTTAACAATCAGTAAATATCATGGTTGTTAAGGAGCGGTGTCCGCCGCATCCTTAACAACCATGACTCGTCTTTAAACAAAATAATTACTGGCATTTAAAAATAAAACAGCAGAGAGGCCCCACCACTCCTTTATGCTGCCAAATGTATCTAAACCCAAGAAGGAAATGTAATATGTTGCCAGTCCTTAGATGTGGTGGGTGCATTCCTTTTTCATTTTTATAATTCTCCCTTATTTTCACCTGGTGATCTTGCTATTAACAAACTTCTTATCTTGGGTTGACTATTCTCAATGAACGATATCTATGGAGGTGAAGCATTGTCATACTAGGCAGCTCTTTTGGTTTGGACTACAAACACCTCCACCTCTTCTCCACTCCATGACATTGGTGATGGTGGTGGTGGGGTGTTATAGCTTAAAGAAGATAATTGGGAAGGATGATAACATTGCCTGAGATTTCAGTACAGTCCATGGAATTTACAAGGACACAGGATTTCTGGCAGGATCAGAGGGTATTTTCTCTACCTGTGGAAAATTAACTTAGCCTACAAAAGAAATCAGGGGCGGAGCTCAGACGTGCTGTCTGTGTCTACAAAGCCAACACAAGTGCCCCCATAAGAAGAGGCTTCCTATGGGACACTCGCCTCGTCATGTCATGAGCACCAGAGGGGGACCCCAGAAAAGGAGGTTCGAGGCCGCTTTGTGCAAACCCATCGCGAAGAGCAGGTAAGTATAACATGTTTAACTTATACTGGTCCTGTAAAGATTCCTCATATCTTTCACTAGAATATAAAAATAAAAAAGTCTTCCTTCCTCCATTTACCTGCATCAAAGAAAAGAAGTGGTTCATGAGGATTCCTAGGTGATCCTGCAGCCAGCCTTCATTCATGATGTCCGCTTGCTCCTGCTCAGCTTCCTCTTTTCTATTGTCACATATGTCCCACAGGCAATCTCTTAGATCCTGTTAACAAACAATACATCAGAATTTTATGCATACAGTTCATTCATTTTAATATCAGTTGTTTTGTATCACAAGATAGGATGACTGAGGCTAGATAACGTAATAATACTTTTTTTAAAGAGGTTCTCTAGTCTGATGAAAAAAATATAAAAGTCAGCAACTACAATAACCATTCGAGCTCTGGAAGGTTTCACCCTCTTCATGACCAGGCAATTTTTTGCTATTTAGCACTGTGTTACTAACTGATGTGTGGTGATACAATGCTGTAAACAAACAAAATTTATATAATTCTTTCTACTTTCTGAGTAAAACATACTCAATAAAAAAAATTAAAAAAATACTAGTAACTATACTATTACAAGTAATGGTGGTGATCAGCGACTTATAGTGGGACTGTGATAGTATGGGGGGCAATCTGACACTGATGCTGAGGAGAAACTGACTAACTGACACTGACATCACCAGTGACACTAATAAAGTGATCATTGCTAATAATATATACTTTACTAAAAGTAAATATACTGTGCACTGCAAGTGCAATTCAAGTGTACTGCAAGTGCAGCTGCTTTAGATCTGAGGGGAAGCTCCAAAATGAGGCTCTGCTGTTTTCTTTCATCCAATCATGTGCAAGCAAAAATGCTGCTTATTTACCTTGCATGTTCCCTTCAGATCTAGAGCAACTGCATTTTCAGAGCACTTGCAGTGCACAGCCTATTTGCCTTTAGTAAACCAACCCCTATGTGTAATGTGTGCTGATTTTACTAAGCAATGTGCCAGTTTTTATTGCCTGTTTTGCAGGGATAAATTTAATGGCACATCATTTCTGTCTGTAAAAATCCCTGTGCTGTTTACCAACAAAGGGCTATCGTCTGTCATTTGCTCAGTTGATCAGTGGGTCTTAGCCATAAATCATTGGCTGGGACCTGCTGATCAGCTTGTGCTGCAGCAAATGGCAGCTCAAGTGTTGGGGTACGCACGCACATGCGTGAGCGGACCTGGAAGAAAGCCACAATGTACAGGTATGGTGCCTGTAAGAGCTCACCTGTCACAGTACATACAATGTGGCTGGTCAGCACACAGATAATGTTGAAAATACTGAGAAAAAAAAGGTTTTTTTGCTTTACATAAAACCTGGAAGCTGATTGTGTTCTATGCAGAAGTGCACCTGATTTTGCACTCTTCAGCTTTAGTAAATATACTGGAGAGTGTCAATTAGCAGCCCTGAACTCAGGCAGGAGACAAGCAAGCATCTCTGGATAGCTTACAGCTTGTAACTAAGTTATTCCATTCAACAGATTTTACCTTCTGGCATTTAAAAAGCACTTGGGAGCTAAAATAAATGTCTTACATTTTTCTTATACATAACAAAGGTGTTTTTTAAGATTAAATGAAATAAAATATTGGCTTTTCTGTTTGACAGTTTACTCCACTGTGGTAGTTAAGACAGAAGAGAAGATTTACTAAAACTGATTTACTCAGAATCTGGCACACCTCTGCATGGTAGCCAATCAGCTTCTAACTTCAGCTTGTTCAATTAAACTTTGGCAATAAAACCTGGAAGCTGATTGGTTTCTATGCAGTGCCTGTATGGTATGGTGCCTGTAAGAGCTCACCTGTCACAGTACATATAATGCGGCTGGTCAGCACACAGATAATGTTGAACATACTGAGAAAAAAAAGTTTTTTTGCTTTACATAAAACCTGGAAGCTGATTGTTTTCTATGCAGAAGTGCAACTGATTTTGCACTCCAGCTTTAGTAAATACACCTGAGAGTGTCAATTAGCAGCCCCAAACTCAGGAAAGAGACAAGCAAACCTCTCTGGATAGCTTACAGCTTGTTAGTGAATTGATATCTCTCTGACAGGGAGAGTATACAACCGAATAACAGTACACAAAGCTGTTCCTGAGTGGTAAGGCTGCACTATTATAACAATTTATGTGGAGATTCAACTTCTTACAAGTTCCTTCTCTTAATTATAAATACATAAAAGTGCAGTGCTTAAAAAGTTACAAATAAACCATTCAAGATAAGGCTTGGACTCTTAGTGGAGTTTTCCACTAGGAGTCCAAGCCTTATCCTGAATGGTTTAGCTATCCTAATTAAGATCCATTATTTGGAAGATCCTTATCTGCTGTTCTGGTGATCTGGAGGAGGATTCCAGTGACTGGCTTTCTGGATTGTTTAACAAAGTGTGATTGACCACTCTTAACAGGGGGTCATGCCTTTCTGGTAAGCCTTCTGTAGTAGTGGTTGGTGACAAGACAATCGTCCTTGGATTTCTTATTTATTTTTGGAAGGACTATTTTTTTGACACATTTTTCACTGTTTTCTTATGATTATTTGTAACTCAAGAGCTGCACTTTTATGTAGTTATTGTTGATTACCTAGTATCAGGGTTTTGTGTTCAGCTGCTGTTTTACACCTCATTTTTGATTATTGATTATCTATTATGGTTTTTATTAGCGCAGGTTTATATATATATATATATATATATATATATATATATATATATATCTCCAAATTCCTACTCCTGACTGGTTATCTTTAAAGTGGAGCTCCAGTCTCCTTGGCTATCTTTTTAAAAAATCACCCCATGATTGTCTTTGCTGTTACCATCTAAAAAGCATACTTTTATATTTCTATTAATTTATGTGGCTTTGAATCTTGACATACTCACTGCATCCCGGGTCCCACGGCCATTGAAACTGTGGGCATCTGAGGCCTGGGAGTAGTTATTTCCAGGACTAGATGCAGCTGGCTACCCAGCATGCACAGTGGCTGGCTACCGATCCAGCATGCACAGTGGGAACACATTGCGGAGTACTGTGTTGATTGCAGGTTGCCATAGCAATGGCAACTTCGGTGGAAGTTCCATCCCTGTTGTTATGGCAACCTGTCAATCAATCATTCAACCTGGAAGGAAGGCAGGTGCAGGCGGGCAAAGCAACAAGCCTCACACAATACAGTAATAATAATCGGCAAATGTTTATTCAAATGAGATTCAGAGGTGGTTTAAAAAAGTATGAATTTTTTTGTGACTTTACAAATAAAATAGCAAAGACAGGCACCTAACTCCACCTGACATTGCATCATTTTCGCTTCTGAAATAACGCGATGCCAGAAACAGAGGATGCCCATTGATTCATGGGATTGGTGACAATTCTATCCCAGGAGCTAACGGGAGAGTGGAAATGAAGTACCTTGCCATGGCGAGGTGGGCTGGAAGTGGCAAGATTTTTGATCAAAAAAGGTAGTGCGCCCCCTACTCAGAAATGCAAATCATGTACTGTATATATATATGTGATTTTTGTGCAGCCCTGCCGCCCTGTAGCAGTACTTCTACTATAGGGCGGTGGACAAGCAGCTAAACAACACCGAAAAAACCCAAAACAAAACAAAGATTAATGGCACAGGGATCAGCTACCAGTGGGACCGTGGTTGCTAAATAGGGTGGAACTCTGCTTTAAGGGAACCTGTCACAATAAAAAATTGGAGTTGCAATTGCTGGACATGTGTTTAAAATACTTCGCTATGCGATCACTTGATCCACGGTCCACTCAAAGCAGCACGGTCACATGAGCTGCAATCCTCTGTGTCCGGTGGGGAGGGCGCGCTGTGTGCCCATCGCATTCCTAAGCCCATGCAGGTACAATGTACGTGATTGTGCCTGTAGGTGCCGATCGCCCGCAGTAAATGTACTGTGGGTGGTTGGCAAGTGGTTAAAACATTTTTTAGACAGGTGTTCAACTAAAGTAAGCAAATAAACAGCAGCAGTTAAAGGCAGGGACTCATGGAAAGTTTTTAAAAAAAACAAATGAATTTCTAATCAATCATGGGAGAATTGTGTGAAAAATGTAACTGAAGAAGAAATGAGCATGAGCTGTGACTTGCAAAGAAGAGAAAATTCTTGTCCACGAAAATTCTTTTCTGTAGCAACATGAGGTAAAATGAAAGGCTTGGTTGGTCGAATTTAGATATCAATGGTGGCACCATCAGACTACAAATCGCACAACATTTCTGATTTTCTAAAGATTTGATCCATGTATGGCCTTCATTATCCTTGATTTACTACTTTTAAGGAGAAGGCACCTGTACATACAGAGGTTTATTTACTAAAGCTGGTTCACTCAGAATCTTGTGCACTTATGCAAGGAAATCAATCAGCTTCCAGGTTTTATTGTTTAATGGAACAAGCTGTGGTAAGAAGCTGATTGGCTACCATGCACAGGTGCACAAGATTCTGAGTGAACAGGCTTTAGTACATCTCCCCAAGTCTTAGGTGGCTGGGCTGCTCCAAGAGCCACAAAACCTGAAGCTCTATTGTGCAAATATCAACTTCACCTCCTGAAGTCACACCTGGGCCAGCACTCACCCACAACCCACCGAAGAACATTTATTTTCTTGCTATGTGTGGGGATATTGCAGAAAATATCCCAATTATGAAAATGAAATAACTTTCTAGAGTGTTTTTTGACTGTTACTTACATCCAGCCTTTGATGCAGTTCTGCTTTTGTCTCCTCGTCTTCCCACAGATCTTCTGGTATAGAATTAAAGTCAGATTGCCACTGGGAGACAAACTCCTGTTTATGGTCTGGACGTTTTAAATAATATTTAAATTTATTCCTAAAAAGAACAATATTTTTAATTAATAACTTTGTCAATTGCAATAAATAATAATTTCATTACTCATTTATCTAGCTCAATGAGGCACTGTTACCTTGCCAATGAAGAGCCAAGTCACAGTGGGGTTGATTTACTAAAATTGGAGAGTGCAAAATCTGGTGCAGCTGTGCATCTTAGCAATCAACTTCTGACTTCAGCTTGTTCAATTAAAGAATAAGTTCACCTTTTGACAAAAAATAAATGCACATTTGTTGCAAGTAAAAAAAAAGTGCATTTGTTCATTTTTGCTGCATGAGCCTGTAAAGCACTAGACCAGTGATCAGCAGATTACTAGTGCCATGCAGGTCACCTGAAGACCATTCAGTATATTTGCTTGCTCGTAGCAGATATACTGACAGGAAGAATCAATAAACTACCATGACACTCCACAATGCCATGGTAGTTAATTGAGAATGACAAGCAGGCAGCTGCTAAGGCTGTCAGGACTTGTAGTTCATTTATTCACAGAACTCTGTGAATTAACGATGCGGCCGTGTGGGCGGAGCCCCACACAGCTGCGCTGTTTTTAAAATGTGACAGCTAGTACATGAAACTTCTTCCTGTATTGCTGTCATGGGGAAGGGGGGCCACGGGGATTGGGCAGTGGCTGCAGCACTGGGAACATGTTACATATTCCACCCTAAAAAACGGATGGAACATGTTCCCAAAGGTGAACTTATCCTTTAAGCTTTGAGAAAAAAAAAATGGAAGCTGATTGGTTTCTATGCAGAGCTGCACCGGATTTTACACTCTCCAGTTTTAATAAATCAATCCCAATGTCTCTGGAAAGGCATCCCAAGACCCCTATATATCTACCTTACCCGCAAACCCTTGCAGCTCATTTTTCCACCATAGTCAGCAACCCTACTTTATTCTACCCAGTATGGCAATGCATAAGACCTGCTCCCCTGTGATGTTGCCTAGGCCTTGCATGGGATTAGGTTGTAGGGAGGGGCCTATATAGAGGGGCCTATATAAGCAAAACTTTGCTTTTAAGCACTTCAGCATGCTTTCTTGGCACACTCTGGCTGTGCCAGAATGACTGACTCCAGTGTGCATGTGTGGGATGGTGTCATTCCCCACCAGCCAATCAACAGACCAAAAACCCAGGAACCCAGAAGCATCCAAGGAAAAAGATGAGAGCAGCTGCTGAGTGATGTACGTGTTGCATCGCTGGAAGGCGGAGGTAACTATTTTCATGAGATTAGTCCCGCTCTAAGTGTAAATTAAAAAAAAAACCTTTTCTAACATTTTGGCTTTTATTAACCCTCACTGAACCCAAAATTAGTTTTTATTAACTTCCGTTCTTCCCTTAATATATTATTTTCATATTTTTTTGTGTATGTAAACTTTCCAAATTTGTGTGCTTCGTTGGCAGCTGTACTAGAAACATGACTCTTGCCTTTATGACAAGCACAAGTTGCAGAATAACATTTGTTAGTTTTTTAACCCTATAATTTGAAATGAAAAATGTCAACCATCATTATTTTTATTGATTCTTTATTTCCCTTTATCTTTTTTTTTTAATTTATGTTATTTTTTTGCTGCACTGAATTAAAAAGCCAGGGAAGTGTACTAGGGCAGCCTTGCCACCCTATTAAAAAAAAATTGCCTGGAGTTGGGCTTTAAACATGTTCGTGGGCAGTGGTTTTCCAAACTAAATCCTCAAGAACACTCAAAAGGACCTGTGTTTGGAATTTCGCTTTGATAAAATAGCTGTCATGAATACCAAAATCTCATTATTCTGATGAAGATATAAACCAAGGTATACAGTGCTCACATAAAAAGTGCAAAACAAATAAAGTGCAAAACAATAAATGTCCACATGTGATTCCTAAAAATATGGTGCAAACCAACAAATGTCCACATGTGATTCCTATTATTATAATACAATAACATTTATGGGAAACTACATATATTATAAATATGTCCATCATCCATAAAGTGCAACCATTCTTCCACAACGGATTGAAATAATATAAAACTTCTGAAAAATAAAGTGCTTCATTCAAAATCAACCACTTCCAGATTCTTGTGTTCCACTCAACCTGCGTGTACCACCACCAGCACAGAGAACGCACCAGAGAGCCATGACCTTCTCAATTAGGAATCACATGTGGACATTTATTGTTTTGCACTTTTTATCTAAGCGCTGTATATCTTGGTTTATATTTATTTTTGCACATTATTGTGTATATCACAGCAGTTATAGTGTAACGGGGTCAATAGAGGTGTTTTGGTTATATCTATTCTGATGAAGATATTCTGCTTTTGGGAAACTAAGGGGCTTTCAGTTTAGTGAGCTAGAGGATATAGCCTATTTACATTCCTTTTCCCCATTGACACAAAACAAATTTACAGTACATAAAACTTTCACTTGTGAATGTCTATAGAAATTCTTTATAAATCTACCCCTTAGTATCGGATCAGTTATTTATAGCCACAACCTGATAGCATTTATAGTAACTGTATAGTTTAGTCATAACAGTTTATTCTGAAGCTACAGTTCCTTGATAATAGATTGTGAAGAGCTAGAAAAGTGTTAATGGAAATAATATATTGTACTTAAAGCAAAACTAAACCCTCCCATCTTTTTCAGCCAAGGAAGCGGCCATCTTAGCCTGTTTGATCTGTAACTGCCATAGTGCTGCACATGTGATCAAGTATGACACCAGCCATTTGATGGTTTGACAGTCTGGCTGAGAGCACAACCAACTGTGACAGTTAGCATCCCTGGCATGCCTGGAGTCTAACTCTTCTTTGAAACCATTAAATTGATGGGTTCAGTTCCGCTTTAATACTGGCAGTGTAACTTTGGACAAAATTTAAAACCAAATATATGGTGCAGACTGCCAGTAGGATTAACAGAGCAGTTTATATTCTCCCTGTAACATTGTTTTATTACCTGTTGATCCTAACAGTAGGTCCATTAATATTAAATAGAAGAATACTAATGTTCCATAATGATAATTAATTAATAGTAGAAAAAAGAATAAACTGCTGTGCTAATACTATTAACAAACTGCATCATATCATTTATAATGTTGCCCATAATCCCACGTTAGTATAACAAAAGCCAAAAACTTTTTTTTTTGGGATTTTGGATAGAGAGGGATTGGGTTAGAGTCTTTCTTAAAGTGGTAGCAAAGCATAAAAAAACAAACAAATAAAACAAACATTTTCCCTCTGTATTGCATACTAGCACATTATGAAAAATGTACCTTAAAACGAAGCCCCTTCTTGAACTAGCGATCTGCAGAAGAGCCTCTGCTGTCCCGGGACACACACTCCTCATTGGCTGAGACAGCAGCAGAAGCCATTGGCTCCCACTACTGTCAATCATAGCCAGTGAGCCAATGAGGAGAGAGCAAGGGGGGTTGCTGTGGGCTCTTGGCAGGAGCGAGGGGCAAGGAGCGTCAGCAGGGGACTTGAGAAGAAGAGGATAAGGGCTGCTCTGTGCAAAACCACTGCACAGAGGAGGTAAGTATGACATGTTTATTTTGAAAAAAAAAAAATCTGTCTTTACAATCACTTTAAGGCCCATCTTTGTAGATTTATTCTCTCTGTTTGTCCTGGTAACCATTTTTACTGGAAAATTTGAGTTTTCACAAGAACGGGGATTGGGTGACATATTCTAGTAAAGATTTGTATTCTTACTTTGGAGATATATCTCCTTACTTCCTGTTGTGTGTACAAGACAGGAAGTGAAGGGAAATAAGACAAAGATTATAAAAGAAACCTGCCAGGGGTTTTAACTCTTCCCTACCCTTTTCAAAATGAAAAACAATAAAAGCTTTGCTTTGGATATAATTTAATCATTTAGGTTTCATAATATATAACGGGGTTCGGCAAAAAATGGAAACACTACATGATTTGCAGGTGTGAAAGTGACGACATATTTCATGTTGAAAGCGGAAGTGATGTGACATTCTTTTGCTTACGCTGAGTGATGAGACACCTAGCTAACAGGTGGGAAGCCTCACTTTCGTCGTTCACTCCGTGTGCTGCTAGTAATAGAGTCATGTCAGAGCTTACTGAGCTTCAAAGATGGAGAATTGTTGGTGCCGCTTAGCTGGTGCCTCTGTGTCTGAAGTTGCCAATTTATTTGCCGTGTCGTGAGGTACAGTATCAAAGGTTATGATGGCATATATGTTTCTGGGAAAAACTTCATCAGATAGGCATAAGTGCGGTCGACATGTTCAACTGACCGAAAGAGACAAAAGGACATTGCCAGGATTGTGACCTGGAATAAGAAAACAACTGCTGCAAAACTGACTGCAGAGCTCAATCTCAGTCTTCACGGGACTGAGATCGAGCTCTGCAGTCAGTTGTTTTCTTATTCCGGGTCACAATCCTGGCAATGTCCTTTTGTCTCTTTCGGTCAGTTGAACATGTCGACCATGCTTATGCTGACCAGACGACGTTTTCCCAAAAACTGTGTATGCCCTCATAACCTTTGATACTGTACCACCCAACACATCAAATAAATTGGCAACATCAGACACAGAGGAACTAACAATTTGCCCTCTTTAAAGCTCAGTAAGCTCTGACATGACTCCGTATTACTAGTAGTGAAGCTTCCTGCCTGTTCGCTAGGTGTCTCATAACACATCGGCAGCAAAAGAATGCTACATCACTTCCACTTTCAACGCGAATCATGTTGTCACATTCGAACCTGCAAATCATGTAGTGTTTCCATTTTTTGTGTCACCGCTGTATATAGTAAGTGATATATAAATATTACCACTTACCTTATATCATAAAGATAATGAATTACAATGAAGCGTTCTTGTCTCATACTCTTTAATCCAGCTTTGATAGCAATCTCGTACGTCTTTTCTATAGTCTCCCAGTATGGTACCAGGAACTCTGGAACGTCCTAATGAGTAGAGGTTGAGAAGATTAACATTCAAAACGATTTCCATTTTCTGTGGAGGCCACATAACCTTTCGGGCATTTCACATTTTAGAAAGTAAACAACTGTATTTGTACAGAGTGATAACATAAAACTATCCAACCCAAGAATTAGCTGCCAATACTATATTTAGTTGGCAGGTGTACTTTAACTGACTTAAGTACTGTACTTGTGCATTTAAATACTATATCTGAAAATTATTTACATTATTATTTTTATACATTTACTAAACAACAGGTATTGAAAAATAAGCATCCTTTATGAGGCAGTTGTTTTAATTACAGGTCTGGCCACTAATAGATCATGCTTCAGACTGTGGGCCCTCAACCCTTTCAGAGGACTGGTGTGAATGCTATGAACTTATTCTATTCGTAAAGGCTCATTCACAGATGCAGCTAACATAGCCGCTCCTCTGAAAAATGATACATGGTGGATCGTTTTTTAGAGGACATTTGACAGGCAGCAAGGAGGCAATATGTCACCTATTCACTGCCTGTTTAACATACATGTAATCCCTCACCTTGTAAAACAACCTATTCAGTTTAAAATAGAAATGAAAGGCAAAACATTTGTGTAGTAATAACATTTTTAAACACCTTGTTTCCCCTTTTTTTTATAAGCAATCACATACCCTCTGTTCTCAGCTGCATAAGGAGATTAGAGAGGTGAGGGTGGAGAAACAGCAGAACATTGAACTTCCCAGTGAATAGCTGAGGGGGTGCATGTCAGCACAAGCCTGTTCATTGGAGGAGAACAGGCTGAGTTCCCACCACAGCTAGAAAACTGACTACGCTGTGCTCTCATTCCTAGTGTGGTGAGTTTTTAATAGGAAAGCAGAGGTACTGTCAGAAACACCAGGGATTTCACACAAAAGAAACAATACACAGAGAACAGGATACTTTTTGATACATGGTACAGCAGGCACATATCAGGAATAAGAAATGTTGGGTTTACATATTCTTTAACATTCAACATGCCGCAGAACAACGCCACAGCTATTGCTAGGCAGGTATGGCATGACCCCATTTGTTTTAATGGGCCACGTTTGTGGCAATCCTGATGTTTGCTATCAACATTGCTGGACTGAAGTTCATGAAAGACACTAAGTGTGAGCTGAACCCCACACTTTCCATGTAAGATTGTCATGCAGTACAGTATCCCAGTCATTGTGTATGTTTATAATACTCCTTTAATGGTGGCAATGCACGCTTTGATAAATGATCGATTTTGTTTACTGACTGATCTCTTTTTAGGAATGGAATCATCAATATATAGTTGACAACCCAAATCCAAAGAGACAGGAAGTGATGTCAGATACTGACAGGAAGTGATGTTAGGTACAGACAGGAAGTCCCATGTGGTATGAGTAGTAGAGAGGAGACATTGCTGGAAGTGGCAGCAGGGGAGCTGTTTCCTCCTATGAAGTGTGGTGATCATATGACTATCACATTGCCTCCACCACTCTCCCTAATGGAACAGAGACATAAAAAGAAGATTCTAGAAGTCACCAGAGAGATCACTGAGCTGCTTACAGGAGAGATTTTATATACCGTATAATCAGGATCGTCTGAGGAGTGACTTAGAGTCTATGTGGTCTGGTTTGACGATATGAATTCCGGCCTGGGTCTATGTTATAAAGCAGATGCTGACCTCTCTTAATTAGAGGTCAGCATATATGGAAGGATCTGGTGAATGGTGGACTTTATATTTTGAAGTTGAAATCGAAGGAAGTGAAGTGTGTGGAATCAGATCCCCAACCTCCCATGAAATATTATTGGATCTGTTCTTTGCAGAGCCATATGCAATTTATTTATAGAGCCCTTCATGATCAAGCCAACCTTAAACATCCAGAGAAGGGAGTTCCTTAAAGCAGGCTTCTACACCCGTCCATCCCTTAAAGGGATCTCTGGCCAGCTGGATCCTGTTGCTACCTGTGAGCTCCTGACAAGCACCACCATACCAAGAAGGAGGATTAGCCCGGATTAGGATTTTATCCAATTCCTAAAGGGGACCTCTGCAGTGTTATCTAATGTTTATTTACATTACGCATCTGGTGAGTGCGTAATTTTACCACACGTTTTGGAGCACTATTTGCGGATTCTACAGCCTATTTGCACCTAAACCTGCACACAGACTGTCACTTTATTGGCATACTCACGAACATTATTATAGTATTTCTGTAGCGCTGCACCTATTTATTTACTAATACTTGACAACCCATTTGCTTGATATGCCACATATGGGGAGGTGGTGGATTTCATTCAATAGCTAAGATATAATTGTAACTTGTGATTGTAAGTTATCAATCACACTGCTGTTACCACCATGTAATCTCATGATCTGAACAAACAAATTGCGATCATATCATATCATACCTCTTCATGCCGGCCGCACACAAATGTGCAGCCTCCCGGCGTCTGGGCCTAGACACCGAGCGGCCGCATATCTGCGTTCTATTAAAAAGGACATATGTGCCGAAAGCGCGCAAGCTGCACACGTCTGTACTCATGGAAAGGTCCCGATCTCCTCTTTCGATAGGGACCTTTCCCGATCATGTGAACGCCGTGACGGCGCATCACGGCGGTCACATGACTCTAAACCCCGCCCCCGGCTTCTGGAACCCTTAAAGGGCCGGGAGGTGCCAGCGTGAAGGGGTTAATAAACCAAGTATCTCGATGCTGCCAAATCATTATACATTTTTTTTACCCTAGCCAATCATCTTTGATCTAATGCGATCTAAATGTAATCTAAATTGATAAGAAGGGAAGTTCTGGCTATTCGTTTGTTTGCAGATTTGATCATTTTGATCTAAACTAATATTAAAATTGAAGCTTGTATGGTCACCATTAAACTCCAAAAATAAAATAAAAAAAGTCAATAGGTCCCAGCACATACCTTAGAAAGCGGCTCGTTTTACATACACCCATTCCGCAGATCCAGGCTGAATGGGTGGAGGACCCACAGGTGTGGGGGCTGAAGGCTCAGGATTTCCGAGGATACTTTCCAGGACACCTACAATTACGTTAAATTTCTCTCTAGCATTTGTCCAGGCCAACTTTTGCCCAAGCTGCAAGTTGCCAGTCAACAGCTCCTTGTTTCCAGTGTAAGTCTCCATGCAAGACAACTGGTTTTTTTTTTTTAAGCTCACTGCTCCAAACGCTGGTAAATCACGCGTTTTTATGTAGATAAAATTTAGTAGCTTTTAGGAGGCGTTAGCATTTTTTAGCGTTTTTCCAGTACAGTAGAAGGAAATTTTAAAAAAAAGAAAAGAAAGAAAAAAACAATATTAGTAACATTTAGCGTTTTTTCCTGCTGGAAAAACGATGTTCCAAAAAAAAAAGCTAACATAGAAACCATATTTTTTTCTTAGGCTCTGAAGCTCAAAAAATGCGAATAGCTTAAACTACTGTAAACCTGGACACATAGGATAACACTTCTAGGAGCAGAAAGTCTAATATGCTAACTACTTCTTGAGCTTAAAAAAAATGCAGTGAGACATGGAGCCTTATAAAAGCAAATTTTTCTGGGGGCTTATTCAAAAGTTACTATAGTAGGCACTAGAGAGACAGCAAAATCTTTAACTATGAGTGTCAGGTATCACAGGGTCCACAGATATTAACAAATATGCAAGACAAAGTGGTACTACAGAAAGCTCTGAAATGCTTTGTCCTAAGAGTATGGATTGATCGGTATGAAATCCATTATCTTTGCAGCTTGGGGGACAATACCACAAAACCATTGGATTCATGTCCCGATGATCTCTGCTGCATTTGGACATAGTAGGGTAGATTACTAGAACTGTAGCACTCAGAATCGGCGCAGCTGCTGTGCAAGGCAGCCAATCAACTTCTTAACTTCAGCTTGTTCAGTTAATGTTTTTGGCAATTAAAACCTGGAAGCTGATTGGTTTTCTATGAGAGTTGCACCAGATATTTTGCACTACTCCCAGTCTTTAGTAAATAATCCCCCATATGGTTGTCACTAAGCCCATTTTATACAGTTTGAAAAGGGATCATTCCTTTGTTGCTATCATTGAATCAACTTAATTTTCCTTCTAAAAGCCCTTAAATGGCATCCAGACCCGATTTGAATGGAAACCCAAATTTTTTTTAAAAAACTTTTATTACAATTTTTTTTCCCCCAAAAACCCAAAAACCCCATTCCAGTTTGAATTTCATTTGAGAAAAATTTTTCCCTCCTTCCTTAAATTTTCCCCATCATTATGGTCAAAACAAAAACCCCCAATTTTTCTCCACCAACCATTAAAAATTTAATGACGTTTTCAAAATTAAAAATTTTCAAAAAAAATTCTACTAATGGGAAACCGGAAAATTTTCTATGCCGAGGGTCTGTTCAGCTCGCAGAATTTTTTTTCCAACCTATGTTTTAAAATAATTTTTAAATTTGGTTTTCACAGATATATTCGTGTTTTAGTAAAAAAAATGGGGTTTACCGGTTGGGAATACAGAAAAAGAAACCGCTTTCTTTAAACCGTTCATGGGGAAATTTAAAAACGTTTATGCCTTTTGCTAGAGGAAATTGAAAATATTACTTTGGGAAAGGTTCAATAAACAAATCCCTTTTTCTTTAACAAAAAACCCCTACCCCATCGACCCACTTTTAAAGTTTATTTTTAAAAATGTTTTTCATGAAATACATTCCCTTTTTTTTTCTTATTAAAATCCCAGGACACAACAACAAAAAAATTACTATGTGGGGTTTTATGGCCCCTACGGGGGGAATTCATGGGTGAAACCCAATCAGAGAAAGTCCCCCCCCCCCATAATCCTGCTACACAGGAAATACCTCAGGTTTTTTTTATTCTTAAAATTTGGGGGGGCCCCAAAAAAGATGAACAACCCAACCAGGGGGAAGTGGGGTTT